TAAAGGACCTGGGCATGTTTTTCAAGTCAATAACAACGTTTGAAATTCTTAGCCAAAAAAAACAAATCTCCTTATCCATGAATAAGGATGATACCACACCGACATTAAATTATATAGATGAATTGTTTTCTTTTATACACTGCACCTTACCATATTCTTCATCACAATAAAAAAAAAAAAACCTTTCACAAATATTACCAAATCTTATTTCTATATAAACCCAATAATCTTCTCAAGCATGATTAGTTTTGTACATAAGGCGTCATGATTAGATTTGTGTATAACGCGACCAAGCACTCTCTGCACACGATAAATTTTTGTTTTGATAGTTCAGATGGATGTGGTGGATTGCTGTATGATAATGCTCAAATAAATTTTTAAATTATTTTTAAAAGTTTAAATAAATTTTTATTATTTTATTCCAATCAATTATATTTTTAATTTTAAATTAAACATATATGATATTATTAATACGTTATTATATCAGATTAATATATTATGTTATTATTTATTATAATATATTAATATATTATATTATATTATATTAATTAAGATATGTTAACGTGAATAATAAAAAATATTAATTAAAATTAATTATTAACAATAAAATTTATTTGGCTCGTGTTGAATAATATTAAAATACGGCCACTGAAGGTCTATAGTTTCAATTGCTGTCGCTGTTTGCTTTATTCTTGAATTGAATTCAGTGAAGTTCATTTATATATTACAAAGAAAGACAAAACAAACGCATCAGTCACGGTTCGATTGTCCCAAGTATAAAAGCAAATTCCATCATTGAAAAGTAGGAGAGATGGTCAATTTCGTTCTCAAGGCGGAAATAAAGTACAACGACAAAAAGTCACATATGAGTAGAAGAAACTTCAGCGTATAATTTTTTTTTTCTGAAAAGAAAAAGCGTGCCAGGGGGCCCGTTGAATCAGAAAGAAATAACAAACACTTTACAAAGTCAAAGGAGCAAAAAGTTCTTTGAAGGGACGGAAAAATAAAAGGTTGTCGCCGGCGGCGAATCCAGTGACAACGGAAGTAAAACGACGGCGGAGAAAATTATTTTTCAAGGATTCATCTTTTTCAAAACCAGAAAAATCTTTAATAAACCACGGACAAAACAAATATTACAGAAGAGAAAAGGAAAATCCATGACTTTCTTTTTTCGCGAAATTATGTCTCCTACAAAAAAGAAACTAAAAAAGGCAACCAAAAGAAAGTAGATCAGATCTGATCTGAAACTTTTTCATAAAGTTTCCAGAAAATTCTTTTCAAAAAGAAAAATCACCAGCAACAGATCAGATCTTAAACTTTTTGTTGTAACAACCCTGGAACTGAGATTAAGGGGGAAGTAATCGGTGGAAGCTTTTAGCGTAGATCTGAGATTTAGGGGGAAGTAATCGTTGGAAGCTTTTAGAGCGGGAAGAAAATGGGAAGAAGATATTTCAATAAAAAAAAAAAGAAAAGAGCCACCGGCAACGGCTGCAAGCGGAAACGAAAATCGAAAGAGAGAGGGAAAAATAGAAGAAAGAAACGGCGAGAGAAGAGAAAAACAGAAAAGGCCGACGGAGAGGAAGCAACCGTGAGAGAGAGGCGCCTAAAGTGAGAGAAGGGTCGGGAGAGAATGAGGGAAAGTTTGGGATTGTGAATGAAGAGCGGCTACATATGGGGTATCGAGAAGGGCAACGAAGGAAATGTAAGTGGGGCTACTTGTTTAGCTGGGCCAGTAGTTTCAAGTTAATATTAAACAATGATATCCAAGTTTACAAAGACAATAATGTGAAACTCACGCGGAATAGTTTCAAGATAGTATTAAACAATGATATCCCAGTTTACAAGACAATAAATAATGTGAAGCTCACGCGGTTTTACCCTATATAGCCCCTTAAAGCCGAAAGGGGATGCCAGGGATTCGATGTTTTACCAAGAAACAGTTAATGCTCTCCGTTACTGAACAGGGATTGTGTGATTGTTGACGAGATAATACTGTAACATTTAGTATATACATTATATAAGTGAGCGTTGATTAAAATCCTGATTCTTCATTTAATGTTTTGGGTATAGTAGAGGTTATTTTTTAAGTAATTTTATTAAATGTTTTTATGTTTTGGTTTAGTCACGCTCTATGCTTTCTTTCCTTCTATTCATGGCAGAGGGAGCTGGGTTTCTATGATTGAAGAGTTTTGTTTTTACGCTGTCTCGTTTTCAAACAACGTAGGAGGAACAACCTTTACCATCGCCAACCTAAATCCAGTCCAATCTTTTGACTCCAACCAAACCTGCTGACCTTTCATCCCATTCCGTCAATTACACCCAAATAACTCCACAGACAGGATAGTCAAAGGGAAATCTTCTCAAGCATTTACTTCTGTTGCTGATTGTAACTTTCATAGTCCGAGCAATACACAAAAAAGGGTAATTCTTTCGCTTATTTCATAAAGTCTATTTGAAATAATCCCAGAATTTAAAACTCAGAGTTCTCAAATAGAAAAGTTAAAATGTACTGTTGGAAGAGTGTGATGATTTTATGGGAAAAGGCCATGATAGGTTACACTTAATTTTTTGGTGCACCAAGTGTTCGAACGGCATGAGGTAGAAGATTTTATCATTGTTTAATTATTTTATATCTAAAAATCTTTCGCTTATCAATGCAAAGTAGGACCTAGAATCGAAGGTTCGTTGTGCGATAATAAATTTCGTCTGCTCGCTCTGGATTCGAACCGTTCTGGTGGAATATGCTCTTACCTATAAATATATCAGAAATGTATGACTTTTATACACCCAACCAATGAATGAATGCATGAATTAAAATGGAAACTGACAGTCAAATCCTCGACTACTTTCTAATATGTGCTGTTTCTTTGCGGGTGAGATTATGTTCGTGATTCATAAACATAACTTTCTTTATTTTCGACTAAACTTGTCAAAGCTTTCTTTTGATCACCCTCCCTCTTTCTCGTATAATTATGTTACAACCTTTTGATCAATATTATCATCTATTTTTATATGCTATATGCATTGTATTATTATAGTGTATGAATGTGATTCTTTGAAAACAAAATGATTTGATATTATCCACAAACCCACCTCATTTAAGCTGACTTTGCGAGTTATATCTTTCTAAATAATTTTAATTTTTTGCTGTCTTGTACTGAGTTAGGAACGGGAGCAATGTAACAGTTTTTTTTTTCAAAGAAAAAACTCACACGCCCTTTTTGGTTTTAGTTGACAGGCTGGAATGTACTATTTTTCAGCTGCAAGAATATTGGGGAAGACTTGTACCATTTTTCAAAAATAAGAAGCTTCATTCATTAAAGCTGTTGAATTAGAAAAGCAAACGAGGCTAGGTTAATTCATTCTATAAATACCCCAACTCTTAATCTCTTAACGCACAGATACATTCACCACCAAACCATAGACAAACCTTCTTGTTCTAAGCACCTACTTCACACACAGATAGGTTGCTAAGTGGAAGCAATGAAGGAGATCTTCCGAGCCAATCTTGCACCTAAGCATGAAAGAAAGTTTACTTTTTCGTGTAACGCCCACGCTCTCCCTCGAGGTGCTAGATTTGATTTGATCGTTAAAGATGATGGAACAGGACGATTGTGGACGTTTGAATGCAAGAGGGAATCACAAGCCAACTCTTTCTCCTTCTCTGGGACGCAATGGGGAGAGTTTGTCGAATCCAGAATCAATGCTTCCATCACTCTTCTTCGAAATGGAAATATCTACATGGTTCAAGTCCGGTACATGTGATTCTAAGCATCAGTTGTGGCAGCTGCGGTTTCTCTGCCTTTTTTTTTTTAATTAAAATAAGCCGCAATATGAAGCTGCGTCATGTCGTAGTTTGTTTGCTTTTTCCTTGAATTCAATAAAGAATAAAAAGTTGCGTTCAATCTTCCGTAGTTTCTTTTCTTGGTTTGTTTCCGTTTATCTTGGTGGTGGGTGTCAACGCGTCAGTTTCTGGCGGCCGTGTGCCGTGATTTTGTTTCGTTATCAGGTAATAGTTTATTTGTTTTTTTTTCCTGAATTTAATAAAGTTGTGTATCCGATTCTGGTCATCCTGACAAGAAAGTTCAACCATTGACAGTATCTTAATCATTGATAGCTTTTTAACCTTTCTAAAGGTATTATCCGTACAGGCGTGGAGGGTACAGAGAGAAAGAGGAAGACATGGAGGGCAGAGTGAGCAAGAAAGAGAGGGTGGCAAGAAGTCAGAGTAGAGAGAGAGAGAGAGAAAAGATCTTGAGACGGGGACAATGTGTGAAGGAAAGAGACGTTTGCAATGACGTTAGAAAGTAAAAAACGACATAGCGTTGAGTCCTGACAGAAAGTAAAAAAAAAAATTAAAGATTCATCTTTTTCGATACCACAAAAGTCTTAAAATGATTCAAAATAAAATCACAAAAGGAACAAAAATTACAGAAAAGAAAAAGAAAAGAAAATAGAAGAGGTAGGCGAGGGCGGAGAGACGAAGACGATGATTGGTTGTTCGGCGGGAAGTGACGGCGGAATCGGCAAGGGGTTTTCAGAAAGAGAGGATAAAGGCCGCAGAAAGAAGAGGGAAGAGAAGGAAAGGGTAAAGGAAAGACCGTGAAAAAGTGTGCCGCCACCTTAAACGCCCAGACGGACGACTGCTCCGCTATCCAGGTTTATTTGTTTTTAAGTTATGGGCTGGCTCCAGCCAAGGCCAACTGGCATCAGCTTTTGTTGGGGCAAATCTAAGAACAACTGAGGTATTTCGTTACCAATTATTTTATCTTTTAATTTGTTATTTATCTATTTTTCATGCATGTATTAAATTTATAGTAAAAAGGGGTAAGAATAAAAAAATTAAAAATTAATTGAATAATACTTGCCAAAAGTATTAAAGAGAACACAAGATTATTGTCACAAGCTGAATTAATTCCAAATATTTACAAAGACGTAGGATAAAAAACAAGAACAAGTGGTTCTTTTTCCAACCGAATTCAGAATTTATTGGATATATATATGGATAGTGTGATTTTTTTTGTCTTAATTTATGTGCCCTACAAAAGCCCGCACATCAGCCCGAAAAACATGGAGAATCTGACATGGCCGAATGGAATTCAAACTAACCCTTCTGTTCACATGGAATTGTATATAAATGTGTATGAAGAACAGTCATAATGTGCAAAGCATTCATAATATTAACAGGAGTGAGACTGTGAATAATGAAGCATGGTGTATGTATCTACAAGAAGGAATCTGGCAGAAGCTCAAAGACTGTATTTCTAACTGGCAACTCTCTGTAACGGAGGCCAAGCAACCTCGTCATCTGTGTAGCCACGAATGAGGAAATCGGTACAGTTCTTTTGGCATCCATGATTATATGGGTTCCTGAACCGTCCATCAGGGCCACGAAGATACCCGTAGCGAATGGCATTTGATAATTCATTCGTGGTGATGTTTCGAGCTATCTACATTAGAAAATAAAGATACCCAAAAGTTTAACAACATATTCATTAAATTCGCTATCCTTTAAATGGACTTAAAAATCTTCACGTAGTTGGTGGGCAACACAGTTAAAAAGTAGGTAAATGAACTCTTCATTTACCTGGGATGCCTGTACTGTGGTCAAAGTTGTAGCAGCAATCAAAACAATAGCATCCAAAATGAGAAATGCAACAATACCAGGATGATGAATAATCACATGATGAATCCATGTTTCATCGGCAGGCAGTGCTGGTATTGCTGTCCAGATCCCTGATGAGACAAACGAAGACATTAACAAAGTCAAATATAAACTAATTTGATCTTGATCAGAAAAGGTGACGAAGAGGAGAGGCTTATTTGTCTGAAATCCACTTACTTTGAACTGCAATAGATGCAGCAAGGAATGAAGTCAAGGTTCCCATGCAAACGAAAACAAAGAAGTCACGTTTATTTTTCTGCAAAGTGCACAATAAGTAAAGCAGATGAGGAAAAGAAACGAAGAAAATATGAATAATGGTCAGATTGCAGTACCAGTCACCTATAGCATCTTGTTTAAATTATTCAGTAGGAGATTAAATGAAAGAAAGGGGACAAAACTAAACAAAGAAGCTAAAAATGGGAATGGAGGTTGCCACTAATGTGAAGGCTGTGCAACTGATGACAGTATTGGCCTTAGAACTCCATATTAGTCCTCCAATTCAATAAAAATAACCACCAACTATACAAGAGTCAACAAAAAGGCATAAAATTCTTACACCCCAGGCATGAAAATAATGTGTGATTTACCATCCTAGTCCTAGATGAGTTTTGAACATATATACATCAATAAGATGATAGCATTTGCATCCACAATAACTTAATCTCAAATAAATATCCTACTCCAGAGGACATTGATAATGTGGTTATCTTCCAATAAATTTCTTACCTTCCCAACACAGTTCGATATCCATGGGCAATGGTGGTCGAATTGTTCAATACAACGCTTACAGACAGGACAGTGCTTAGAACGAATGGGTCTTATTATCTGACAACATAGAGAAAACATGGTCAAAATGGCTTTGCAAGCTGAGGAATATATATATATAGATATGCATACATAGTTACAAGGAAAGGTTCATCAGGTAACCTTGCAGGTAGGGCAAAGCTGAGACCAATTTCCTGTCCATACTGATGAATTGTTCATATCAATACTCAGCAAGGGATCCTGCCAGTTGTGAATAATATACTACTGGTTCAGTTCATGCAAAAATATAGCAAAACTGAAGAGCTTAAAATCCTTTTTTATTAATTTCTTTCTTTTCCTTTTGAATGAATTTTGAAAACAAGCTTAAAATCCTAATTGGCCAATTGATCAAGCTAGAAAAACTTCCAACAAATAATAAGCATGCAATCCTCTTAGGTCCCCCTCAAGGGTCATACCAGACTAACCAAACAAACTCTAGAGTCTCCTTAGGAGCCTGCCCCCTTTCAGCAAACTCATGCTCCACACAAAAATTCTGCATCTCCAAGCTAGAATTTTTATACAGCTTGCCCTCAAACTCTTCATTTATTGCACAAAGCTAAGCTAGAGAACTTCCACTTCCTATTTTCCCCTCCCAACTGTGGTACTGGTGATTCAGAAGACACCAAAATTGAATGTCCATTTCAGACACGTATACAATATAAGCCTCAAATTCACCCTTCACGTGAGAAACACATACAATTATAAAACTTACGCATGTGACATTATGCATATGGGTTCTGTTAGCTATAAAACTTTTTACATAATGATACTACATGCTATACTCAGCCTTCCTACAACCATGACCCAGCTCACTCGAACTACTGCTATTTGTGTCTTCCCTTATATAAATTTTGCAGTCTCCACAGAATTCACATAGTTTTAATCCATTCCAGCCACTGTAAAAGGTTACAGTTATTAAACAGAAATGCTTGTACCTCTGTATCTTCATAGCCATCCAATCCTCCATGTTTTTTAATATAACCTGGATCTTTACTGTAGAGAATTGAAAAAGCCAATCAAGAAAACAAAATAAAAAATAAAAAAATTTAACCAAGACTGAAAAATTGTTTAAATTCAGATAATTGCTTCATTTATAGTTCAGAAAACATGAATGCAATAAAATGTTCAGTGAGTAGTTTAATTATACATTTCCAATCTTGTCAAAATGTTTCAATTTTTGGTTCAGATATTAAAAATGCAAGGTACCAAGCAAAGCCACATTGAAACTTCTATTCAGTAATACAAGCATATGTGATTGAATGGGAAAGATAACTCATAAGACTAGACTAGCCAAGGTATTCTATTTGATAGCATTTCATGCATGAAGCTCTAAACAATTATATCTAATGGCCTAAGAATATAAAACACCACGAAATAAAACAAATATGTGAAATCAATTCAATGAATATCAAAATCAGAGGACAAAGAATTACCTACTACACCTGTAGAACATTATCAATGAACCAATAGCTAGGGAAACATCAATCCATCCCCAAAGTCCAACAATGGCAGTTACCTTAGAAAGACTTGGAGCTACATGCATCTTAAAGAAGTCAGTCATAATTAATGACAAAAACAAACATGTTCATGACTGAAATTTTAACATCATAGCTTACTCACCAGTAAGAACTGAGTTGATGAAGAGGATAATTAGAACAATTATAACGCAAAATAAGATAGGAGCATAACCAACATCCCCCATCTTCCCACTGCAGAACTTGTCCACCAATCGATTGCTATTGGCTCTAGCTGCGTTAGACTGAACAAAATCAAAAGAAACCAATAAAATAAAATGGCTGCAAAATCTCCAAGATATAGCAAAAATTAAGAGAAAGTAACAATAAGGGATATCCAGGTGGGAATAGTCTGAGAATTTGATACAGATACCAACTGTGTAAACCATCTCCGTGAACACATTTCTAACTGGACATTAAACTAAACCAATAATGCAACTCAAAGAATGACAAAAAATAAATTGCAAGACTAATAATACCATTGTTATATGAAAATATTCACACCTTCTGTGGTGTCATAGTGTTTTACAAGGCAATAATTATCTATTGCAGATGTGCTATTCTCCCATCCATCAAAGAATCAAGCCCCACTGTACTGACACAAACACACCCCAGAAAGGCAATACCAAATATAATTGTTCAATTGGGTCCCAAACATCATAAACTAATTTGTTGTGGCATCGTGTTTTGGAAAGCAAGTGAATAAATTTTGAAGCTATATATAATCTATGCAAAGCCTAGCCTGACGCATTTAATTTAGGCTTATAATCCCTCCCAACCAGAGAGAGGGAGTACACCACATACTCGATATAAACTTTTTCGTTTTAATGTTTCAAAAGAGTAATGAAGTAATTTGATAATGGACACTTCCAAATTCCACATGGTTGGCTCAGAATAGTTTCTGCCTACTCACTTTTTGAGAAACATACACAGATGAGAAATGCAAGATCATCTTTTTTTGGAGAAAGGGGATATGAAGGAAGAATAAAATGAAGTTCGGTAAGGTTTAAAAAAAATGTATGAGGCACTCCAGCAGCCAGCATACTTAACAATAAGGTGACTGACCACATAGAGCCAGAAATACCCAGCATTACCCTCACTAGAGATAAGGCCCCCTATCAGAACATCTTCCAGGCACAGTCCTATTAGGAGAATCCCAAAAGTCATTTCCTCATAGACACCATATTCAAATTTCCTGGCTTAAATGTTTGTTTCAATGAAAGTATGCAAACAAGGCAACAACTACACAAAGTCACGTACAAGGAAAAGGGCGATTTGCCGATGACCTTTATCATATGCAAGCTGAACAGGGGTAAATCCAGCTTTATCTTTCACCACTAATTCCTGCTTTGTGCCTGCATGCACGAGTACAGTGCATGCTTCTGCATTTCCTCTTATTGCAGCCCAGTGCAATGGAGTGCAACCTGGCAGCATTGGATATACAACATCATAAAAATTTTAGTAGTAAGATTAAAGCGGTTACTGAGTAAGGTGTAGCCTGGCTCACTAAACAAATATTATAACAATCACAGAGTTCAGAATGAAAAATACAAGTTTCTGACCACTGTTTACAAATTTAAATCATAAAGAAACTCTCATGCATTAATAACACAACTGGAAAACTCAGGTTGCCACCATTGCAATATTAATCACAAATGTTTTCCTGAACACACGGGTATAGAGTGCATATAGCCCTGAAGGTCATGAGCACATACACCAGTACCTTTTACAAGGTTAAAAGCTTGCATATTAGATAGTGCATATTGATTATTGGATAGTACCTTCTTTGTCTTGTCTCCCTTGTGATGCATCTCTAAATAGAAGCAATCTAATTGTATCTGCAAATCCCTTATACGCAGCCCTGTTTAACACATCACAAGAATAAAATTTGTCATTAACAAGCATTTATTACTTTTCACAGAAAAAGGCTACTGCACAAGAAACTGAATTAAGCTACTAAATATCAAAAACCAGTAATGTTCAAACCAAAAAGTATCTCTTTTCCCTGGGGTAAAAAGGGTTAAGTCTGAGATTGCAGGATGGATCCTGCTTGGGTATGTGAGTAACATCAACGATTGCAATCATATATGAAAAATCACATTTAAAAGGTTTTATTTTCTCCAATATGCTACAACAACCAAAGTCAGACCACTTCTAAAATTGCACCAAACTGCTATCCCCTCTTAGTACTAGCTTGTAGGCTAAGGGAAAAACTTCTTTTAAATGCAAATTTGAGCTCATAAACAAACCAACTAGCATAATTTGCCATTCATACAAAACAAACTAGAGCCATAAAGAAAAACATACTACGAATCTATATGGAAAGAATAGTACTAAGTATTTTAGGCCCTCCAAAATATAATTAATTGCTTATATTAGATTTACGTGAAATCAATCTCTAAGCCTATATTATGATGGTTGCATCTAAGCTATTTCATAAAAACATACCAATGAAGTGGGCACCTTCCATCATTATCAGGTGCATCATAATCAGCGTGATATTTGGCAACAATGTGATTTAAGAAAGCCGTTTGCCCATACTGAGCGGCAACATGAACCGCCTGCAGGAGACAAAATAGATTGATAACTGCGTCAAGCCCCTAACTTGCATTACATAAGTCAGCAAAAAAAAACAAAAAATTGAAGCTTTTAGAGTCCCGTAAAGAGTTAGATTCAGCAGATAATACAAGAGCAAATCGAGCTCCATTCTGTTAGTGGCTTGCATTACCCGATAACCATTGATGTCAGTGGCTTCGACTCGAGCTCCATTCTGCAAGAGCACATCTGCCACTGCAATGGAACCCCTAACTGCAGCCCAGTGCAAAGCAGTCTGCTTGTTGTTGTCAATTGCATTCACATTTCCACCATGCTTCAATCATATTAAACAAAACAAAAAAAAGGCCCAAATTTATTTAAATCTCAACAAAAATCCACCACTAAGCTATAAAAAATATAAAATTTTTCGAATTTACCTCGGTAATGTACTGAGCAATATCTGGGAAGTTGTTGAGAGCAGCCCACTGAAGGGCGTAGTATCCGTTACCGTCAGGTGTAGTAAGAGAGGCACCATCTTCTTCCACGAATTTCCTCAGTTTATCAAAATCTCCATAAGCAGAGGCCGAGAAAACATCGATTACAGCAACTTGTTGGGTTTTCGGTTCTGATTCTGATGACACCACCTCAATCTCCGAAGAAGCCATGTACAAAGAAATCTGAACGGATTTTAATTCCAAAAAATATATTCAGGGAGGATTTTAGGGGTTTAGGGTTTATTCCTCCAGCAAGAATTTGCGGTTGCTCTTTGACGATGATGACCTGTTCCTGCTTCCTCTTTTTCTTTTTCCCTTTTTGACCTTTTACTCAAAATGGAAAAAGCAAACCTTTACAGATTTTATGTTGGGTAATTCGGTCATTGCCCAATAGGGTTCTCCCTTGCTTATTTAAAATTATTATGGCGGTGTCAGGTGGTGAATACATTTCCATCCTTCATGTACGGGGCCAATCCAATCTCACCCGTGTCTCTGACCACGGGTGCCTAGAAAATTACAGGCAATATCATTTCAGGGGCACCTGGTCCTGATAGCAGCTGGGGTAGTTTCCATTGAAAAGGGACCTTGTGACACAGCCCATGAACATGATCACAAAAGGAGGATTTGGATGCCAGCGGCTGCTAGTTCCTTGATTTTTTTGGATGATAAAACATTCAAGAAAACATCCCACAATCTAATTGAACAAGAATCTGCGAATGATGGGAATCTCGGAAGTGATAAATGATGATGATGAGATGACAACCATGCTTGGCCCCTGACAGATATCTTGAAAGCAAGACGAGTAGGAGTTGAAGAATGCAGGGTTTTTCAGGTGTTCAGTCTGGTAAGAAAGCATAGACAGCCTCGCTGAAGACATTAAACTTGTGGGAATGAACTGTGAGGTATCAAGGAAACCAAACGAAGCAGTAAAAGTGGAAGGAACATACATTTATTAACTGGAGATGTAACGTTCTGTTCCTGTAGCATACTTCCAGTCACCTGTTCAAAGAATCATAACAATAAGCAACATGAGCCAATTACAAAGATTGCAATAAAACAACAAACGGGTCTTGCTCCTTTGTCCCATGTGTGAACTCTCTGTGTATTTACTCCATGCCTGTGTCAGAACAAGAACAACTTGGGCTAAGAATGAACAATACAACCACTATAATATTAAGAGGAAGAATAGACTACGAGAAATTTCTTTCTATCCATTTCAGAAGCAGAACTTCATATCTACCAGAATCAGTAATTCCAATAATTTTTGAAAATTGCAAATGATAGTATTTAGATTGCACAAGCATTAACCAGATTTGCATAAGGTTATGCTTGATTCATTTTTATTGTATAGATTTTAAGTGAACTAAATATTATCATATAATTAATAAATAAATTCAAAATTTTAAAAGTTTAAAAACAAGTATTTATGTGTGTATGAAATAGTAACGTATGCATTATTATCTGATATTATTAATAAAAATTAACAAACTGGCACAATAAAATTCTTTTTGGAATATATAAACATTAATTTACTAAGTAACAGTATGAACTACTATTTAAAAAAATAGTATGAATTATCAGAGAACGAAATATGGTATATGAATTTTTAGCCACCAATTCTCGGTGTATATAATACTTATGTGTTATCAATTAATCAAATATTATTATCTTGTTAATGAAAAAAATAAAAAATAAAAAATTTTAAAAAATAAATATTTATTTTGAAAATTTTTATTATTACATATTTATGAGGTGAGATTTTATAATTAAATGATAATATATAAATATTATATGTATATTGATAGGATATTAAATATAATTATTTTTAATTTTCTAAAAGACATTTCTTTTCTCGTCGGGTGAGGAGGACAAATTAAAATAAAAAAAATCAGAAAAAGGAAAAAGAATATACGAGAGCACTCAAAAGGTAAGCCAATCAATGCAAACCACTTGCTTCAGAAAACCACCATACTCCAAGTACTCCCTCACTTGATTGAGAGAGAGAGTCCCACCACAAATGTCACAAGCCATGACAGCAGCAGCGGCAGCAGCAGCCAGAGTCATAGCCGTCGCCAGCAACTCCACCTTCACCGCCGCCTCTTCCTGCTTGCTCCTCAAAACGCCGTTCGCTTTGAAACGTGGCTGCAACGCTCTCAGCTTCAACAACGGTAGACGATTGTCCAAGAGATTGTTTTCTTGCAATGCCCTTTTTTACCCTCTGGTTCAGATCAAACAGGAAGGCCAACCCGAAACCCTCGACTACAGAGTCTTCTTCGAAGATACTTCGGGCACAAAGGTATTTTCACCTCCGTTTTGTTCTTGTCAAAATCTTTGAAATTTAATTTTAAGTTGTAGTAGTAGTAACATTATTTTGATGGTAATTGAGATTTGTGTTTGCTTAGATTTCTCCTTGGCATGATGTACCGTTGCACATGGGAGATGGTGTTTTTAACTTTATTGTTGAGATACCCAAAGAATCAAGTGCGAAAATGGAGGTTGCTACTGATGAGCTATACACTCCCATTAAGCAGGATACAAAGAAGGGCAAGCTTCGATATTACCCGTAAGATCTGCTGATTCTGATTGTGCATAGCTTATTGCTCAATTCAATGCTTGGGTTATCTTCAGCTAGGATTTGTGCTAGGATTGTCAAATTTTTCTCCATTTTTCTAATACTTTTACAATTAGATTTTACATTTCACCAGGATTTTCCTCGGCAATGTCATATAATACCCAGAGATACTTGTCTTGATTTAGAAATGACCCAAGTTCTTTGCTCATTGTAAGTGAATAAGTTAGTCATTTTCTTCAAGTATACATGTAATAGCCAGAGAAACTTGTCTGCTAAAAGCAGAGTGGTTGAGTAGCTTCTAATAAGAGCAACTGATTTTTAGGAGATTAAAGATCACAGTTGTATTAAGGTACATCACACTGTACTTCTTCAGGTGATGCACTATCTAATGGTCATCAGGGGATGACTCAGACTGTAAATGCAGCGTGGCCTCTACTTAGTAAATAGTATGATTTTACCGATAATCAGAACACATTTTTTATAGGATTTTTGTTATTAGAATCCACTTTGTTTCAGCTTCTTCCTGTTGTGAGTTTTCATTGTCGAGTGTGTCTCTCAGAGGTTTCATTTCTGAATAATCGGTTCATTGTCCATCAGTTATAACATAAACTGGAATTATGGATTGCTTCCACAAACATGGGAAGACCCATCTCTTGCAAACAATGAAGTTGAAGCAGCATTTGGTGATAACGACCCTGGTAATTCCCAATACTTGTTTTCGGTATTTGATATTTCTTGCAAACCTTTTCTTCTTCTTTTTGTTGTGAAAAGCAGCATCCTGAATTTTTACGTTTGTGTTTCTTTTCACTTCTTAGTTGATGTTGTTGAGATTGGTGAAAGCCAGAGAAAGATTGGTGAAATTCTAAAGGTTAAGCCACTGGCTGCTTTAGCCATGATTGATGAAGGGGAACTTGACTGGAAAATAGTTGCCATTTCATTGGATGATCCAAGAGCTTCTCTTGTTAATGATGTTGATGATGTTGAGAAGCATTTCCCGGTATTTCTCTTTATCCTCTGCAGGGTTTTGTAATCATTTATTTCATCAATATATTGATAATGTCATCAGCAAGAATAGTGAAACTAGGAACTGACTTATACTGCAATTTTAAGTTGGGTTGTTGATATTACTAACTTATTTTACTATGACTACCAACAGTAAAGATGTCAGTATTACATGTTAGGAAATTGAATCATTTTAACTAGTCTTGTGCATGGTCATCTCACTTACGAGTTACAATCGCAAAACTTTTGAGCATCCATCTGGTGATATTTTCAGGGGACTCTCACTGCAATCAGGGATTGGTTTAGAGACTACAAGATCCCTGATGGAAAACCAGCAAACAAGTTTGGTCTTGGCAACAGGGCTGCAAACAAGGTAAGTACTGATTTTGTGTACCCTTTTTCCTACTCCCAAAATACCTCTGTGATTCGTCCTGCTTCTGGTCTCATATGTTCTACCTGTATGTTGAAACAGGATTATGCTCTTAAGGTCATTACAGAAACTAACGAGTCTTGGGCTAAACTTGTCCAAAGATCGATTCCTGCTGGAGGGCTTTCACTTGTATAAACTCGACCAGGAGCATTAGAGCGGCGATGCTTGCAATTTCAAATATTTATCTGAGTTTTACTTCCCCCATCCCCTTGCAAGCAAGGCTTGGTAATCATAGAAGTTGATGCCAATGAGTAGTCTGCTTATTGTTTGGGTAAATTAGAAAACTGTTTTGATTGGGACAGAATTTGATTTCTTCTGATGTGATAAACAGGAAAAGACTTCTGTAGGATTGACTTTCCTAAAAATATAAAAATAATAATAAAGAAAAGCTCTCTTTCTGTTTGTGTTGAGAATATTTGAGATCTTAAAGGAACCGAATTTTGCTGCCAAATCTCACTCGAACAGGAAATGACGAAAACTGTTTAATTGATCGATCAGTGTAACTTTATAACAAAACCTGCAGCTGAGAACCACTTTGTAATCCGATTACAGTTTGTATGGTAATTTGACATACTTTTAACTGAACTGCAGTTTGTATTGTACATAAAATTGATTAATGTAACTTGACAGTAGCCAAGGGGGAATTTACAATAGGCCTCTGCCCGACAATTATGAACCTAATACTCTGAACCAAAGATGATTACATAACTCTACCACCAGCTGTATTCAAGGGCTTCCTTGAACCTCTTTTCCAAGGCAGAATCAGCAGAGAAAGAACGATCAGCCTCCACCATCTTGGACTCTTGGCCGTTGTTAGAACGACATCTTCCTCGGCGGGTCAGAAGGCTGTCCAGCGCAACCCACTTTAGTGCAGAGGCCTTAACATCCAGAGGTGGCGATGGAGGAGGAGGTGGAAGAGCTGGAGAAGTTGTTTTACAGTGACGAGAGAGAATCAACATTGCAGCTGTAGGCGCCATAACCAAAGATGGAAAGCCTAAGAATACTGGGAATCAAAATGGGTACTTGATAAACTGGCAGTCGTCTGTTAATATACAGGAAGAGTAAGACCCTGGTTTGGTGAGAAACCCAGGGAACTAATCTGTGGGCCTTGTGTCGGTTTTGTCGGTATTTTTAACTAGAATCGGATGGGTTTAAGATTTACGGCAACGGGTCCAAAGGTGTGGGTGATTTTGTCCTGATCTTGACTACACCTAACGATTACCAATGAGCACAAGCCAGGTGGTGATGGAACCAATACCGTGGAGATACACTCGACCAATTACTGGTTTGCAGGACATGGAATAAAAATTCTGTTGTCACTTGATGTTCCATTTTTCATATTATTTTTTTTAAAAAAATATTTTATATTATTTTAATTCTGCAAAGCTTTGAGAGACGGCATAAGAATATAAAAGCCCTGAATTTAATTGAATTGTATTGTCTAGAAGACGTTTGAGGGTCAAAAGTAAGATAGAATACTATGTTTTATTTTTCAATGGTGTATTTTGGTGCCAACATCGACCTTGTTTGTCTATGGTGTCCCTTAGTGTCCACATGAATCCAATTATTGATATCAACAATTTAACTCTTAAACTTTGAACTTAATAATTAAAAATAACAATTTAATGGTAAAAGTGATGTTAATATAAAAATTTTGTTAGATATGTAATGTAAAATTATAATAAAAATTTCAAAAGAAATACCAATTGAGAACAGAAGATTTTTTTCCAGAACCGTAGACCTTCCTTTTTCTAGATAAAATAAAATCTTTTTTCTTTCTCCGTTTTCTGATAACACTAATTAGCCATCCACGGCAAAATGTTACAGAGGACTTATATAGGCTGGAGAATACTCTTGCCTCATAAAATGGGGAGTTAATTACTAGAAATAGGGAACTGAAGATGATTCAAAGTCCCATTCAAAATGCAGCAAAAGCAGGTTTCGGGGGATCAACGAGAAAAACATCAAGAAGTTGATCAATGGTGGTGTACTCAAGATCAGGATATAGGCTGGAAGCCTCAAGGTCATTCTCCCCAAGCTCATAGTTGAGAGGATCACCCTTTACAAATAAGGAGTGAAGGACGGACACTGGTATATTATCTGGAAATGGTAAGGCTGCAAAAAAAGTTTGATAAATTCTTGATTAATGTAACAGATTGGTATCAATGAAGTAACGAATCAACCAGCTCAAGGAAGCAAAGTCCTGAAACTTACTCTCTGAGAGTTTCACCAGTTCTTCCTCATGTACATGAATCCTCTTGAAACTGCTGCCTGTTTTCTTCTCCCACAAAGCAATCAATTCAAGCTGGGACACTATATTTTTGGGCATCTGATAGATTACTATTCGATTGCATGTTCTTGGGTCATTTGCTACTTTGATTGTGTACTCCGCCACATCTTCTTCATAGTTCAACAGTGCTGAACGTGACAGATAGAAGGGAAAAACAGGAATACTGAACGTTAGATTTCAAAACCATAGAGCTTGCAAAGATTCAACTACATCCTCATGCTCTTCATGTGGACGAAGCAAATAATTCACAAAGTATGCAGCAAAACAATTTGCAGATACATAGGTGTAAGGGATCCCAGCTGCTTCCACTGCCCTTCTGATCTTTCACTTTTTGTCTATACAAGCTTCGAAAGGAGGGAGAGTAGTCACTCTGTCCTCTTCAACCCCGAACTCCGACGGAAGGAACCTCCAGATAGCAAAGATAAAACTAAATCAGCACCAGTTTCTTCGTTCTAGTATGAACATGAACACAAATATTTTATCACAATTTAATTAATGTTAATCACCTTTATGCTGCCAGCGACTTTAATGGCTTCAATTATGTTAACCTGATCAGGAACCTGGGGGAATGGTAACGCTGAGATAACCACATCTACTCGACGAACTGCATCCACAATCCTATCATGTTCGTCCAACTCTCCCTGTTTCATATCAATATCAACACATGCATGCATGCACATACACATATATTAAATAAAATTACCTGAATGATGGTAACACCGATAGATTCAAACTCCTCGAGCAGGTTTATCTCGTCTGGATTGGATTGAGGAGTGATAGGACGGGTGTAAGCGAAAGTTTGATGTCCACACTTGATGCTTGCCTTGACCGTATATTTTCCTATGTATCCAGTTCCACCAAAGATGAGAATCTTACTTGCTTGGGCACTAGCTTCCATTGTTCCTACCTCCTCTTTTGCTTCCATCACACCCTCTTGCTCGGACCTATGCTCCCTCTATTGCTCCATTTATAGAAAGTGAGGGTTTCTTTGCACTTTGGGTTTTCAATTATTTAAAATGAAAAGTCAAAATCAAAAGATTGAAAAACTAATGAAATTGATTATTTAGTTGTGATCGAAATTTATTATATAAATTAAATAAAAAAGATATTATACGCATAATTAAAAATAAAGATGGAATAAAAAATATACGACAAAATTTTTTAAAAAATTCCATCACGTTTTTTTTAAAAATTTAAAAATGACAAATACATAAAAACTAAAAAAATTAAAAGAACCTAAGACAAAAACATGAAAGATCTCCTTTGAGCCACGGCCAGCCTCTACTGAACGGAGCCGAAAGCAACTCGGCCGTTCGTTGAGTGCGTGGCCAGTGACTTAGCTTTGGCACGGCAGACCGGCTAGCTAGAGTCCAAAAATTTGTCATTCCCGGCTGTTCCCATTTACCCTAGCCGAAATTTGCAAAGGCTTTTTAGCTGGTTTTAGGCATGCGAGAAAGAAAGCTATCAAAGCCCGAATCACCGTCATTCCCCTTTCTTCCAACCTTTTCCCCTTTATAATTGTACCACTGTCCGACAATGTGACGGACGTAAGGGATCGGAATACGTTTTACGTTAATAAATAAAGATTTTTAAACATGTTTTGAATTGAAAACTTAAACTCATGATGTGGTAATAAGTAATATCAAAATATATTTAATTTTTCATTAATTTAAAACTCTTATAAGAAATAATAAGATTAAAATAAATATTATAAATTTTATATCAATAAAAAGTGTATATTTTAAATTTATTACAAATAAAGATCTTTTTTCATCTAATAAATGTTTTTTGAGTTAGATTTATGATATCATATCCTATTTAATATTTTATTAACGTAAAACTCTCTTGAAATATATAAAATTAAAATATATATATATACCAAAGTGAATCCTTCCTTATAAGTAAAAAGAGATAAAACGATACATGCATTATCTTAGTATGATAACTAAATTACTTATAATGTTTTATTTCTTTATAGACGAATATTGAGAATACCACTCTTAACTTTTTCTCGAAAAAAAAAAATGAACAAACATCAAGAAAAGATGAAATTAAAGTCAAAATTAACAGGAAAAAAAATTATGTACATCAAATGATATAAACAAATATCAATACAACAAATCATACAGAGATACTGAGGACATTATTGTAATGTTTTATTAAAATAATTGAAAGCATCAAAGAAAAATGAAATTAAAGTGAAAATTCACAAAACAAAAAGTAGGCATAAAATTAATTTATGTATGACCTGTCTTGTCGTATTTATGTCGTTATCTTACTTTATAAATTGTGGTGATAAAGTTGTACGAAATTACACATAAATGAGAAAACTATTGTTTTGAGTAATTGAGTTCTCTTTGTGTACATGTTCCCTCCCCCAGACTTCAACCTAATGGTTAGAACCAAACCCAAAGGGCAAAGGGTATGGTCAACCTACTTGGTAGTGGGATCCAGTAACCTGCGGCCATGCCCAGAAAAGGATAAAAGGGAAAGCAAAAGGGTTGTCCATGAACCAACTTCTTAAGGAAGCACAATGCAATCATTAAATAAAAGTGTAATTATCAATAAACAATCTGCATTGACAAGATGCTGAAGCCTTTCCGAACATTCAAGTCTGAGAACTCTATCGACATAAGGTTAATGCCAACACAGGGAAGTAAAGAATCAGTATAGGTATCGCAGATTGTTTTCAGTGAGGAGACAGCATTCAGGGTTCACCAGAAGATTCTCTTGCTTCTGCAACTTTGGGTCCAAGCAAGGGTGTCGTGTTTGATCTGTCAACTTCAGTGACTTGTCCCTCATCTTCATTAAATCTATCCACACTATGCAGAAATGTTCCTGTCATTGCCATGCATGGAATTCATTCAGCCACTCCAATTTCCATGACTTTTCCAAGTGTATAAGCTAATAATTTGCCTCAACTAGCCCCCCAAAAGAGACCCATTTTCTGTTTGGTTGTGAAAGAAGAAAAGGAAAAAAAGACAGACACAGAGAAGTGACGATACCGATAAACCATATCCCAGCTGCTGGAAACAGAATTGATGTTAGAATAAGAGCAGTTTCTCTCCAGTTGTTGACAGAGTCCTGCACAATCTCTTTAAAGGTAAGTTTTCAATATATTTACAGGCTAAAACATGTATGTAAAACAATATCAGGAACTTGGAGAACTGTGGAATTTGAAGTTATAAACATAACAAGGTTTTCTTCAACAATCTTAACTTTCCATTACGTAGGTTATGGTAATTTATGGATACAATATATACAAGAGGATACTTGGAATTTTTTTACTTAAAGGACTAGTCTTCCCCAACCATAGACAGGGATTTCTGATCCAACTACTCAACAAAGAAGTGGGGTCGATGCAAAAGTCTGAATTTAAAGAAAAGGAAAAGACAGTAGCAACTAGAAAGTAATGTGTTTTCTGCAATGCCTTGTAGGAAAGAGAGAAACCAAATAATTTTGATAGATAAGGTGAAAAGCTGATTAAACATGCATTGCAAGACCTTTCAAATCCTCGTCTTAACTTTTTCAGCTATTAAATTAACAATTTAAAAAATTAACCTGTAGTTTCTTTTCTACATCATGAATGCCAAGTAGCTACAGTTCATAGAAGTCATTTTTCAGTTATTCTTCTCTTGTAGCCTTTGGATGGTAGAAAGGAGGTTCTATTTGGTCCAAAAAGGAAGTAAAATTTTATTCTTTAATTAAAACCTTATCTTTGTTATTTGACAAAAATATTTTGAATTCTAGCAGTCTTTAACCTCATTCAATACTCTGGAAGTTGGGTTTAATTTTTTTCCATAATTAGTAGTTCATTAGACCTACTCCCTTATTCCTAGCTCTGCCCCTGACCCAACAAAGTTGTTGAGTACCAAGATAGTTCTACAGAAAGAAACACCAAATGCTCATCTGCCAATAGTGAGTGCTGTAAATAAATGCACATGCAGAATTTGTTGAAAAGGCAAACCTGGAGGACTCCCACAAGTGGTGAAGAAGGCACATCACCAAATATATGAATTGAAACAGTAGAGATAGCCATAGATAATGGTCTCAAACTTGGCTTAACACAGTGGAGGCTTATGTAATTTACAGGACCCTGCAAAGGAAAAACTAAAGAACTTCATATTGTGGAAGTAGTCTTTAGTTCGGGCTTCCTAACATGCCTTTGATGGTAATAACATAAATAGCAAAGCTGTTTAATTTCTGAGCTAACAAGATTTTTCTCTTAGTTTACAAGTGGAATACACCAGGCAACTCCATAAATCTTCCATAATTATTAACTTTATGTGAGTAAAATCCTTAGTTAACTAGTAGTAAAGCAAAACTAAATAAGATAAAATGAAGACAAAAGGAAAAAAAAAAAGAAAAGAAAGGAAAACAAAGTACACTGTCAACTATATGATCTAACCTCTGACACCCTTGGTTGCTCTGATTGTAATTCCCAAATCAAGACCTCGACTTGGTAGACAGGTATCGAATCTACTGCTAGAAGAAACTAAACTACAGGCCCGATAGCTATCTACTAATGCATTAAATTGCAATTCATCCAAATAAGAATGTAATACTGCAATGGCTAATAACTAGTAAGACAGGATTCTATTTACTTTAGAAAGGAGATACCTGGGTGGCGAAGACCAGTAATTCACCAATTGAGAAAAGAGCTAGGAAAGCATACATGCTCTTAAAACAAAAAGCAGTGAAACAAAAGATTGCCCCAAAAAATGTTGCTATTGAGAGAAGCTGCAGAAAGAGTCCATGGAATTTGGTGATGCAGAACAAGCATGTTAGTGGCATCAGGGCAAAAGCATATAATGTACTACTACATATGCATAAAGCAATTGATATATAAATGTATCAAGAAAATTAATCTTAGAGCATTTCCTTTAAAATGCAAGAGAACTTACCTTGAAAGCGTTGGAGATTGTCGAAGTCATGAGATCCAGAATGTAACCTCCTGCTAGTGTGCCAACTATCCCACAGACAATGGTTATTCCTCCAAATATCAGGTCTGCATCACTCTGCAAGAAGATCTTAACTTGAGATAAAATATCACCAATTTATTTAATGCATTGGCGCTTTGTCTTATTAGCAGTTTCTATCTTCTGAAAAGACATAAATTTTTAAAATAAAGGAAATATTAGACGTTAACTTATAAGTAGATATTACAATCACATATACTTTAAAAGCTTACCATTTTATAAATATTGTAACCAGCCTTAGGCCCCCAATAAGAGTAAGCACCTAAAACAAAGTTGTATGCACAATAACCTGAAAAATGGCCACTCTCAAGTTAGCTTATTTATGAGTTGTCAAAACATGAATAAAATTATTACAACCCACTATGTACATGTCCCGAAAGAAAGTTCATCAAGGAGTGAGTAATTGAACTAGTAAGACAACTCATTGAACTGGAGAAAAACATCAATTGCATAAAGAATTACAAGAACAACAAATTTAACATAGAAGTCCTCCATGACTGTTTTTCAGAGATACATTAGCACAACGGCAACTCATCTGTGAAGCAGGGTAAAAGGACATACCTAGAACATTGACAACATAAACCTTATCAACCAAAAGTTCTTTCATGTCTTTGGTAAATCTTGAAAACCGGTTCAAATTCAACAACGCACATTTTAGCCTGGCCAGACAAAAGTATTCAAACAAGATATGAAAATTATTCAGGTACATTTTCAAATGGAAGACTTCCCATATGCATAAGATATGCTGATAATCATAGTTGTAGTTGTAGGGGAAATAACAGCAGAAAAAAGGCTATGCATGCATAAACAAGACAACAAAGCAGAGATATTAACCCACTGAAGCTCAAGCTATCTATAGTTAGTGCATCTTCTATTCTTGATATGGGTCCTGAACGTTATGCTGAATATGTATTAGGCTATAGAGAGTTTGGGACACAGCTTAAAATTATGTTTTTCCAGTTTCTAGTACATTATAAGAAGTTTCTGCAATACTACAAGTAGCGTAAGGCCTATAAATAAGCAATTGTATATAACATATATTATGAGCTTCAAGATAATGGCCCTCACTTGGAAAATGTATGGCCGAACTCTTCCTTCATGGATTCTGCACTACCTTTAACATTTAAAGCCTCTGTATCTTCATCAAGCATCAAAACCGTTAAGTACATCCAATAATAAGAGATCTTACACATAAGAAACTAAGTCAGAGGACAAATCACCAAATGAGTTTTCATGTAATGGTTAACTTCTTAACAAGAAATTATGGCTGAAAATAGAACAGAGGGTAACTCATCCAACCATATTGCACCTAAGATAAACTACTTGGGCAATAATCTAACCTTGAACTTAATTCCGTTAGATTTTTTATAGCACACACATGTTAGGGTTAAGCGAACATCAATGGTTCAAACAAATTATAACTTCAATAATTTTTTTTTTCTTTTTTTTGAGGGGGGCAGGGCAGGTAGAAAGGGAAACATTACTTCTCAAGCACATCTTTGACAAAGCATCAAATTTTACTCAGTCGGTAGTTCATGGTAGATTTTAGTTATTGCAACTTGCAAGACCTGCTTGGAATGTAAAATGGAAGTAAAGATATTCTAAAGTGATCTATAAATGAGAAATCATGACATGTTCTTTTCTGGTCAAGAACAAAATACAGTTTTCAAGAGAGAAGTGCAATAGATATGTCATTTAAGCAGCACCTTGAACTTCTGGTATAGCTGTCTCCATAGAGATCAGTGCTTTTCTAGACTCAGCAGGAGCAAAACCTGTATCAATGAATCATTAGAAAGTAACTGGAAAAGGTCTATAGGACCAATCCAAGTTGCTAGGTATCCAATGTGCACCTTTCAACTGCAAAGGCTTCATAACAAAACCCAGAATAGCAAATGGAAGCATCATAATGGCTTCCACCCAGAATGCAAAACGCCAATTAAGATAACTTCCAACCTGTTAGGAAGATCGCTATTGGCTAGTTATCTCAAATTAACTTATGGGCAGAGTATAGAGCATCATAAAACATCGACTATACCAAAACTTGGCAGATCTGAAATAAGGACGGTTCTTCTAGTTCTAAACTAGGAAGGAACTTACGAGATCAATTTAGAAAGAGAAAAAAATTTAATATGTATGAAAGAGCGATAAAAGAAAACTTACTAATCCACCATAAACATAGCCAAATGCATATCCAGTTGGTATACACATGTAAAATATTGCCAACCATGCTGTTTTCTGATACAGGGGCAGGAGAAGAATAAGATGTAAGGGGATGACATTAACAACAGGTTTCTGGTAAAACGAGGAAAATACACACAAAGAGCATGCTGCATATAACGCCCAAACTCAAAATATTCAATGGCTAGATGACTGTGATCAGTAGACATAACAAAATAATTAGATTGAACCCTGAAAGGCTACTAAATTTATATAATGGGCAATCCCAAAACAATTAACTTAATTTCAGCTTTCAACATTAAATTTTGAAGCCTCAACATCGTTCTTTCACCTTTTTCATACCAATTTGTGGAAAAGGACCCAAATTCCTTAATTTTTAAGATAAAGTGACTATCCCATTTGGCCACATTAGATCTTCATTCAAATCAATAAGTTACAAACCTTAACATGCATCAACTTTAAGATTCACTAAATAAAGGAAATTGTGCCATAGATCAGAGATCAACATTGCAAGTGCAGTACCCCAAAATTTAAAGAAATAGGTTCAAAAGGGAAAAAGAATATCAAAAATAAAATATGAACAAACCCACGAGGTAATGAACTTACTTTAATATGAAAATTTTAAAAGCTTTAATACATAAGTATCAGCTGAAAGTATTGAGAATTTTGTGACATCTTGATGAAAACAAAACACAAAATGCACACACACGCATGCGCGCGCACACACACACACATATAACTGAAATGGAACACATCTCAAAACCAGTATACAGGGCTGGTGTGTCCCCCACTTGTCTATATATTTCATACGAGAAACCTGACGCCTTTTGTATTAGTACATCAGGCACCAAAGTTCAGGCAAGCTTAATATCCCTACTGTTATCAGAGAGAAAAGAAATAAAATACCTGTGCAACAGGGGCATTGTCATCAATGAAAGGAGCTGCAAGACTGATAAATGAAGCCTCACCAACGCCGACTAGCCTAGAAAGAATGAGATTAGCACAGTGATCTTATGACTTATTATCTTAGTGCTAAAATAATCATATATTAAAAAAATGAAGAAAGGAAAGAAACAATTAACCCACTTACATGCGGCAAATTGTAATGGACCAGAAATTAAATGAAAAACCACAACCAGCTGTAGCCACAGTCCATGCTGACAATCCAACTCCAATAAGTCTAAATGGATTAACACTGCAAACATTTTATAAATACATAAAGACTCACATACAAATCAATTTAAACTGAGTCATATAACCTTAAACTTTTTATAGTATAATCTTAAGTAACTTATATGGCTAACTGTGGTGCCTCAAACACAATATTCATCTTGATCACATCCGATCAGACTACAAGATATAAGAGCACAAAACAATTAAACATACCCCAGAAGCGAGATTTATCTGACACATGCATGCACGATTAATTTGTGTTCAGTAATTTGGAAACAAAGTGACTAAATTCCAGCCTTTACACAGAAAGATCTAAGTAATTATCATAAGGCACAAGCACATATACATCTATAATTAACATTACATCAAGAATGAGGCTTCTATTCAACATTAAAGCCATGCATGAAAAGTATAGCTAAACCAAGTGGATGAAACTTAAATATTTATGATACTTATAAATATATGCTTGGCCCATATTTCTGCAGTTTACATTTTTTTTTATTAAACAAATTTTCCAGACGATTGAATTTCCTTACCTCTTGGCTAATGATGCAAATATGGGAGAAGCCACAAGAAGTCCAACCATAAATGCAGACGACAGAATTCCATCTTCAAAGTTGTTCAAGTTAAATTCACCCCTATACAGAACAATGAACTCAAAATAAGCAAAAGAGTTTAAGAGGTCCCAAAAAGTAACTGCAAATTTATTTACAGATCAATTGAGCAGTTAGAAGTTCAAGGAGGTTTAAGTTCTCAAAAAAAAACAAAGGCTATTATGTAAAAGGTGGTGCATCAGACGATGAATAATATGCTTCCAAACAAACATGAGTTGGTATTGTAAGTCTTTTCCATCAATAAATATCTACATTGAGCCAACACAGCTTCAGTCTTGCATTCTAATGTTGCAAAAAAGAAAAGAAACAAAACCACATATTATAAATTCCTTAATTTTTCTTCGTCACAAACTAATCTCTCCCAAGACTCCCATGTCTCCCAGTTTTGGTAGAAAATGAAACAAATTAATGAGATATCAACAGGTGTTTACAACTGTTGTCCCCACCAAACCACAGAACCTAATAAGAATATCCACCATCGAATGCCTCAGCATCAAGAAAAGAAAAATGAGGGTCTCCAAGTCTTACTGTATTCCACTACCAGAAGTGCATGTACCACTCGATGTGCAAGTCCCCTGACTCCCATTCACACCATTGCTTGCTATTGCTCCTCGATCCACATAATTTAACAAGTTAATAACACAGAAGATAACCAGCAACCTGCAAAAACAAACCATAATGTCGAAAGCACTACTAAAATTTTAAAGCATCACTTGCAAAATCTGAAAAAAAAATTAGGTGTCACTGACAATCGACCCTAGCTTTAAATAAACAAATTTAATCTACAACTCACAGTCATGATACATAACTACTGGCTTTCGAAAGAAGCTAAATGTCTCCTCAAATTGTGTGCTCACTCTTACTGACATGGAATTATTACAGTTTCTATCTAGTCTTGGGCAAGAAAAACGGAGCACTCTTTCCTTTCCCGCGCATAACATAAACTGGATATTTGCATAAAGTGATCTCCTAAACATCTGAAAGCATTGAACTTTGCTGTATGAGAGAACAGCCAGGAACCACTAACCTTAATTACTACAAAAAAAAAAAAAGAACCCATAAAATGCAGAATATGGGTACTCAGGTAAAGAATTCGAGCCAAAATCTTGACTTCCAAACAAATCCCAAAAATCCCAATTGACCAAAAAGCCAGCAAAGCAGCTAACTTTACAAGGCAAAACAATTAGGTGAAGCTTCCAACAACTATAATCTTCATTTTTTGTTTTCTTTTTCCTTCATTTTCTCAGCCAGCAAACTAACGTTCGACATTCAAAAGCTTATCAAAATAAGGACAAACGAAAGAAAGATACCTTTTGGGTGTGAACCAGGAAGGCTCTGGAACTGATAATGAGACTGAATTCCTCGCCATGTCTGTCTCTGCAGAAGAAGCTTTTGCTTCTCCTTGTCACACCCGTACTCCGCTATGGATATTTCTTGATTTTTGTTTTCTGACGTTGGCTTTTGAATGGTAGTTCAGTTGGTAGTTAAGTTTATAAGAAACGAAAGAATCTTGTAATTCTATTGGTCACTTTGGTTTGCTGAAAACTGAAACGTGCTGTTCTTCTTTAAAAAAAATGGGAAAAAAACAGTTTGGTGTGTTTTAAATTTGGTAAAAATATCTCGTTAAAAAATTTTATCAAAATTATACAAAAAATTATTAATTTTTAAAATAAATATTTTATCTTACAAAACTATTTTTTATTAGATATATAGATTCATTCGTGAACCAATCATTAGTGTTTCGATAAATTTAATGACATGTTAAAAATAAAAAAATAATTTTATCTTTAATTAAGTTTTTAAATTATTATAATATAATTTTATTAATTTTTTATTAATTTAATGAAAAATTCCCATATGAGTACCGAAGCTCCCTGAGAGGCCGATTGGAGCTCCTTAGGGAACCCGATTGAGACTTTCCTCCTTTGGGGGTCCTTGGGAGCACAAGCTTAGCCCCACTTTCTTGGAAAGTTTTTATTTTTTTTTAAAAAAATAAAATAATATTTTTTAAATTAATTAAAAAATATTTTAATTTTTTTTATAATTTCTATTAATTCTATTTATATTATTAAAGTAGGTGTTTATTTTAAAAATTAATAGATTCTTTTAAAATTTCGAATAAAATTTAAAAGTAGGGTATTTTACTTGGTAAATTGTGGAACTCTATTTTTCTTTTAGTTATGTGTTTTATAAGAATAGGATGAGGTTATACTCACAGAGGTCCCGTAGCTCAGTTGGTTAGAGCGTTGGTCTTATGAGCCGAAGGTCGCGAGTTCGAGCCTCGCCGGGACCATTTTATTATGTTTTTTTTTTAATCTTCATGACCACCAACTTGTTGAAAACATTTCTTTTTACGTTTTGAATGACTATTATTCACAATAATTATTGTTTTTAATCTTCATGACCACTAACTTGTCGGAAACATTTCTTTTTATTGTTTTGAGTGATTATTAGTCACAACAATTATTGTTAATCATCAAAATTATTAATCTCAAATTCGTCAAGACTTATTTTTTTTATTATTTTAAGTGATTATTATTCACAATGATCAATATTAATCTCAAACTTGTCAAGATCATTTTTTTTTTAATTTTAAGTGATTATTATTCACAAAAATCATTATTAATCTCAAACTCATCATGATCATTTTTTTAAAATAATTATTATTAACTACAATCATCACTAAGTATAATCAATGCAATTATATACATAGTACCGTGGAGATAAAAGGAATGCAACTGAATAAGAGAGCAGAGATATACTAAGCTGAAGAGCTGCCAGATGAATTTGACAGCCTGCCAATTACCTGTCTGCACTTTTTCTCAAGTTTAGGACTATATTGTATGTGCAGTGCAGGTGCCGAAATGACAGATATCTCTGGAAGAATCAAAGATGCTATATCATTTCCGATCTCGTACCTCTTTTTGTCCTACACAAAGCGATGAAGTACATCCATAGTTCATATCTATGTTGCAAGTCATTTCCTTTTCTTATGAAAGGTATGACATTCACATTTATAAATCTCTCAAAATCTTTTATTTATTTGATATGATTAAAATATCTTTTTGGTTTTTTTTTTTAAATATTTGACGTGACACTTATAAGTTCCGAAACATGAACTCGAACTTTGTTACTCTCCCAGCATCGCATGCTAACTGAGCTTTGGTGTTGTTTTTCCGATCCCTCCCAACTCGAGCAATCTTGTTCTGTTCCAAAGGTTTAGGACTCTTGCGAGGAAAGAGGAAGCCTTACCACCTGATAGAGAATTTAAGCCGGGCAACCTAGCACTACACAGATGCTTTTACCGCTTGATTATATGTCCCAACATCACTGCAATGGAGATGCCATTGCTATCATTGTAATTGAGAGTTGCAGAATTTTTCATTCTGCTGTAACAGTTCTAGCAAAAGCAAACAATTACATTCACTGCTTTTGGACATTAAGACCCCACCCTCAAAGTGAAAACACCCAATCAAACATCAGGGAAATTCCATGAAGGATTGCAAAGTAGTTTTCCTGTATCATTGCTACATTCTGTTGCTGTTCATTTTGTCAAAAGCCAAAAAAAGCCTGCAACATGGGGATCAGCATGAAGAATGAAAAATGATTAAAAGGAATCATTACTACTTTGCATTATACCTAGGGTGTGGTTTCCTGAAACCTAGTATGAAACACTTGGCAACCACAAAAATTGAGGAAGGTAGCCTCGAATGAAGCTTTGATCATTTTTGGCTGAGAAGGAATGAAGCTCAGCAAACCTTTTCACCAAAAGCACCTTGTTTCTCAGCAACAATGTTAATTAGTTTCTGACACCTTCGAAAACGGAAGAATCTTGGCAATGCCTTAATGGAGAAAAAACTGCAGATGAGAAAGATACTTCGAGTTTTGATGCTTCTAACATTCCTCAGTAGTGGTTAATGTATTTCTCTCTTCCTCACTATCTGCTGTTTTTATAGGAAAGCCATTGTCTGTATCTAGTTCACGATATAAAACACCTTGGGACTTTGGATTCTCAGACAGATGAAGTACACTGTCGTGCTTTCCTTGATCTACTTCCCCTTGAAGCTGGGAGACTTGAGTTCTATCTGCTAGGCTTTTTCTGGATAATTCGTCTTCAGACTGATGAAGTACACTGTCATGCTTTCTTTCATCTACTTCATCTTGAAGCTGCAAGACTTGAGTTCTATCTGCCAGGTTTGCTCCTGATAATTCGTCTTCAGATAAGGTTGACAATTTGTTTGTCGGATCTACACCCCCTTGAAGCCTGGAGACTTGAGCTCCATCTATCTGGCTTTCCCTTGATAAATTGTCTTCAGATGAGGTTGATGGTATTGATGCTTGGACCTGGGCCACTCTTGCCTAATAAAGCAAACCAAATAGTTAATTCAGCAAAGCCGTCAATTGCACAACAGTAATGAAGTACATGGAGATAAAAACAACGATATTCAATGCGTATAGAGACAAATCAAAGCATTGTAATTCGTGGAGTTTTCAAGTATAGAACAGTTACTACAGCATGAAGACACTGTGGGTTTACGAACTTCTGAGTATCGGCATCAAAAGTATAAGAAAAATAGGATATCAAAAAGAAATATATCAAAAAAAAAAAGGGAAAAGAGTTAATTTTTGAAGAAAAACACTACTGATTCATAAAGGTAGCAATTTTTGCCCATCATAGGATATATCCATCATTTGAAGTGAAAATTTTGAACAAATGATCAACCAAAAGTTTGGAGCAAATGGAAACTACGCTGCCAAGTGCTAATCAAGTAGACCCCTAAACTATTTGATGTGCCACATTCTCCTTGAAATGTCATGTAACAATCTGGTTATCCAAAATTCTAGCCCAAAAGAATCAAAATAAAGTGGAAGGACTCTAAGAGGTTTAACTGGCAGAAGCTCACTTGTCACACCATACAACAAAAGTTTGAACGACAGTGGTAGTTTCTATAGTTAATCATCCGTGTACCTGAAGTGGCTTCATAATGTCAAATTCGCGATCGTCAGTTTTGCTGAGTTCTTCTTGAGCTTGCAACTCCATGGAATCTCGGACTAGCTGTCTCAGAAATGTCACGTCATCAGACATGACACCAAATCCTTTCAAAAGCTTTGATCCAAGTTGTAAACTTGTCTGCATTAATAAATAGGACATCTACACTCAGGCTGCCGAAGCATGATTATTGAACATTTGTAATAACAAAATGTAATGTAAAAATTTGTCAATACCTCTGTATTCTCCAAGATGGCATCTGTCGCACCAACTTTCTTTAAATCTAAGAGATGTTTGAGGTCTTGAGCCCTTGCATAGATTGGGACCTGCTCGGTAGCATGTTTTAGTAGAAGATTAGCAGTCCACCCAGGGAAAAAGGTTTCTTTCTTTTTTGAAGAAAGTTTACCAATAGAGAAAAAGAAAGCCGAATAGCAATTAGTAGTGATCTAATCAGTATACAAGATGTTCAAATTTCACAGGTGCAGATGAAATAAAGTGTGAAGGGATCAACAAGGTTGATATAGTAAAATTAATTTAGATAAAGAAGAACAAATCTTTATAAGTTAGTCTGAATTTTTGGAATCTCCAGTAGCTACAAATATAAAAAAGAATGATTTTTATCAAGTCCCCTTAGTAGCAATTTTTTTATGCTATCTCTGCCATTTTATCATCAGAATTTTACAGTGTGTCCCAGAGAGAGAATAAAAAGCATTACTGCAGGGAAGGCAAGCCGAAGCCTTTGAACAGCTTCAATTGTCCTCTTCTTTCCTCTGTACATAATCATGACAGCTTTCGGAGAAGAGATACCGGCGGATTGCAGAACAGCTGGACGTGACCCATCGCCATAGAGGATTGGGAAACCAAGTTTTCGAGATGTCTGCAAATGCAATAACAACTATTTTAAATACCATCACCTGTAATGATATAGAATATATCTTTTATTTAAAAGAAATAGTGAAAAAAGTAGCAAAATAGTTATCATCAGTTTACAAAATTTTATATAAATATTTGATTTTAAAGCACTAGAAAACCATTTTACATTTCTACTGCAACAGACTGATTCTAAGGTCCATTTTCCTATACTTAATTTTGTCGAATTAAGTCTCTCTGAAGTCCATAGTCAAACTTCTGGGCAATAAATGGCCATTGAAATGATAGTTACCCACCAAGACATGCACATTTGTAATTGAAATTAAAGTAAGATGTTACTTGTTCATTGAAAATATATATGCATACATATATCTTAAACAAAGTAGCAATATAGGATCATATGAAATTTGGATACCTTCACCACAGAAGGATTGAGATCAAAAGCAACATAATGCAATCCCATACTGTCGCCATCTACTCCAGAAGCCAAAGGAGTTGACAAAAAATTAGCAAGTACCTGCAAGTAAAAACATTAGAACACTAAAATGTATTTGCAGCCAAGTGATAATTGTAGCTGTTAGTGCATCATATTTGATGTACCTGGCCCATTTGCCCAAAGCCAATGATAACAATAGGTTCACTTGCAACAAAGTTCACCGTCTCAGCAACTTTCTGCAAAAAATTCTTTAAGTTCAGACAAATAAAATCATTGAAGCAAGATGATGAATACATAAACAGTCCAGCCAACACAACTAGCTGGTCACTGGAAAATAATCAAGTAAAATACTACAAAAAAGAGAGAAATATTGGGCCATGAAAACTTAATCCAACCACAGTAGTGCAGCTCACTGTGGTTGCTTTCTATCATGTACCATTTTGAGACCAAAAATATTACTAGTATAAACATACATCTGCATCAAACTTGTCATCAATGAAATCGGCAGCCCTTCTTCCTACTTCATTAAGCAATGGGGTTAAAGCCATCGACAGTACCACAACAATAATAAGCAGCTTATTAAGCTCAAGCGGTAACACTCCCAGCCTGCTTGCGGACAACAGAAGGCTTTATGAGCACAAAGTAAACAAGAATGCTTACTTAGAGACTACTTACATAATTGATTTAAGTTGAGGCCAACCTGTTAGCTAGAGAAAAAACTACAAATGCAAACTCGCCTCCTTGGGATAGAAGAAATCCTACTCTTACACTTTCCTGCAAGGTGAGTCCAACACGAGGACCTATAGCTGTAATGATCAGCGTCTTGATGACAATCAAACCAGCCAAGAGTGTAAGCACATTTGGCCACTCTCGGTAAAGAAGCTGCAAAGAAAACAATGTAACTTGCATTAAATCAAATACAGGGTCAAATTATTACTGGATTAATTGCTTTGATGATAATGGCTACACTTTGCACATTCATGGGTATAACCAACATAAATTCATATAATCAACCCTCTCTAGAGAACATAGTGGCTTAAGGTCACCACAGCCTGAAAATTAAGATAACTGGCACTGTATCCTTAATTTCTTTGACAGCCAATTCAGGACAGAAATTTCAATAGTGCTTATTACACAGAAGTAAATAAAACTACAGAATGAAGGATTAAAGTACAGAAATGTCATGAAATTGATACAAATTTCAGTTCTTTTAAGCTGCAGCTATGCACTTGCTATTATTCGAATACACAAAAAATGAAGCATGCAAACAAATAGAGGGTAATCAAGGAATATACTACTCACAAATAACTACCATACCTGCATGTCGATCGAAGTTCCAGTAGTCATGAAAAATAACCCAAGAAGCAAGCCTCTAAATGGCCTTATATCAGCTTCAATCTGTGTCCGGAAATTTGTTTCTGCCAATAATGCTCCAGCCAGAAATGCTCCAAGCTGGAGAATGAAATTAAACTTACTCATTACTTGACTTGAAATTCATCAATCTCAACCATGATCTGCTGTTGAGAATAAATATCAAACCGTGTCACTGAAGCCCAACTGTTGGGTGAGAAGCGAAGTCCCAGCAACTGTTAGCAAGCAGAGAGCAACAAAGGCCTCTGAGCTCCTTGTTTCAGCAACAACCTGAAAATTTAAGAAACCTAAGCTAGTGATGCAGCAAATGAAAGGTGTTGAAGTGTTTTTCTTTTCCTCTTTAATAATAGACCCAACTCACCTCAAAAACTCGCCTAAGAATGTACTTTCCTCCAAGAGAGAGCAGACCAAGCCCACCTAATGCCTTCAAACTCTCTTGAGCTAGCATTGGCCAAATACTTTCCTCTACTAGATTCTGCGAAGTTGCGAAAGAGATTAAAAATGGTCAATGAATGATTCAGTGCATCCCAGATGTATCTGATAAGAACATTAGTATCTATCACAGTCCATATGAGACAAAGCTTTCAAGTGACAAGTCTGAAAGGAATAAATGAGAAAAAAGTGATGATTGATCATTACAACAGACAAGGTTTCCCCGATTGAAACATTTACGATAAAAAGGAGATAGAACTTCTGGGCTGGACACCTGCCCCAATCTAAGCATGCCGTACAACTTGTATATAAGCTGTTCATAATCTCAATTTCTCAAGGTATGCAACAGGAAATGGGAAGTAGGAAGTCAACTAAAAGCTTGAGATCTAAGCATGATGCCCATTCATATATCAATGAAAGAAACAAATAGAAGTTGGTAATACGTGAAAATATCAATTACAAACAACAAGATAAAAGATCAACAAGGCAATCGAACAGTGTGCTCAGAACATATGACTTCAGAAAGAGTAACAAAAGAACACATTAACATACATAAATAAGGGGGGGAAAAGAGCAGGGTGCACAAGCAATCTGTCTCAGCAGTTACGAAAAGGGATAGAGGCAGTTTAAAGAATACAGAGAGTATCACATATGAGTCTCCATCAGAGAGACAAATGAAGAGTTCACCTCACTAATTGACGATAGAAAAAAGAAGATTAAACTCAAAAATGGATTTCTTGAATTTAAAATGCATATTCTAAAATTCATCACAGAGAAAGCGAGACCAGAGAGAGACTCCTCTATACCTGGCTCTCAAGCACTGGAAGTATGACTAAGAGAGGGACAACTGCTATGTCCTGCAAATATCAAGCAGTGGGGCCCAAAAAGGTTATTGACATCATATTCTGTGGTATACTTCGCAATGAACCTAGAAAAATCCACAAATGGAAGTAATAGGAAGTATAGTAACTCCTTTGGTATGTCAAATTAACTTTAATACATAAGCCAAAGCATGTTGAGGAGACAAAAGAACCTGTAAAAGAAGTATCCCCAATGTTGCTGAGCCAAATCTTGTTGGCAGCTCACCCTTCTCTGCAAGAAGCTATATCTTATAATTGTAAGCTTTGCATTGCTATATCAGGCAGGTATATCTCATATCTCAATGAATAGGAAACACTTGGCAAATCAAAAGCACCATAAAGCAAAGAACTTTACTTCTTTTATTTGTAATCTTTACTAATTCATTATAAGGGAATCTTGTTAAAAAGAGCAAGTAGCACTTCCAGATTCACATTTATCAAGAGAAGAAAAAGAAGAAAAGAATACAAATAAGACAATCCTCTTTTTGAACACAAGTCTTCACTTGAAGACCCAGAACCTCTAAACTACCAAATATAGAAGTAATGAGCACATAGTTATTATAGCCTGTCCACCAGGATTTATACATACTTACCCAAAAGTGACAATGGCAGCAAAATGAAACAGACTTGTGCAGTTACATGTATAACCATCTTTAGATATCTACCATTAGAATACCTGTAGAACAAAAGCTGAAGAAGATAGAGAGAGAGCAGCACCAATCACTACGGCTTCATCAATACTTCTGATATTAACCTACAATTGTAGCAAAAAGAAGAATGTTAATAGGTTTACAGATAAAATGCATGATAATTCAGTCAGACAGCTTTCGATAGGTAAACTGCTGCTAGAACATTCAAATGACAATTACTAATTCTGAATTATATCAAATTCTTTAAAAAAAAAAGAAGATACTATTGAACTTCTAAAACCAACTTAAACTGAAACCAGAATCCAAGCATATCCCTTCATCTTTAGGTAACCAATTCTTAACTCATAATAATGTTGAATCTTCTAAATTTCAAGGTGAGAAATCATGAGCTTTATTCTTTGAAAAGACACCTGAATAGTACTATCATATTTACTCCCTCTTTCTCTCTCCAATATTCAGCTTAAATTCCAAAATGTTTTTTCCAAACAATATACCAAAATTGAAATATATTATTTTTCCTCAATTTAATCATATTTGAGTCAAATTCATAGAAAACAAATAAATGGAACAAAACATGTCCATGCAATAAGCAGCACTAAAATTCTGCATCATGACAAACTCATTGAAACAGCAACCCAAATAATTAGCAGAGAATGATTAAAAGAATTAAACAGAGAGATGCAGGGTGAACAGATACAAGAAGGATTAAAGATGTCTTGATAATGTGTTCTCACCAAGTCAGGCCTAGAGTGAAATAGGAACTCTAGAATTCTGGTTCCAATAGCCCCATTAGGTGGAAGTTCAAATGCCGTGAAAGCAAGGGTGGATAAGACAACCTTAAAAACAGGGGAAAAAAGACAATATCAATAAGAATAATTATAAAGCCTAGAATCCAAAGGGGAAAAAGATACTTCACCAGCCAACTTCTTGAGAAATACAAGCTATAAAAACGAAATTATAAGTGCAGAGAAAAAAAAAACAACCAAACAAGTTTTAAAGAAGCCCAATGCAAGGGTCATTTGACTTTCCTGACAATATGTTTTTCATGGCAAATGTTGAATGCGAAGAGAACAACATCCTTTGCTAGAAGCTAACAAGAGTAACCGCTTTATTAATGCAACAAGCTGGTAACAATGGGCCCAGAACTGAGCACACCTTACTAGTGAACCTTAAAATATATAAATCTTAAATGTGTAGAGATGGAGCAGTAACTCTAAGAAACTTGTTAGAAGTATCTCCAAATGATGAAAAAATGAAAATAGAGATAGAAAATCTTACCACATAAAGTAGATGGGTCCTCTAAGTGTTATTGCTTAAGAGATAAATCCTCTGTCCAAATTAGTTCAGTGATGTGCATGTACTTCACTTTTTCCATGTTCACATAAAAAATAGACAGTAGAATTTCCCACTCATGTTTCCGACTTGAGAAAATAGTAAAATCTAGTCATACATAGATATGGTATTAAACTCGAAGAAAACCTTCACAGAACAAAATTTCTAGCAATTCCTCATCATGCATGTTTCAACAACTTAACTCATTTCCAGCCTGGTTTTCAATATAATATTACTCAGTACTTCTACAAATATATGAGTGATGAGACATGCAAATGTTTGAACCCCAATAGACAACTTGATTAAGTAACAGTTCTTGATAGTATCATACCTGAGTCAATCCCATGCCAAAGGCAAATTTTGCAAGAGCTTTTAGGCGTGCAAGTGAAAGCTCTAAACCCATTTCAAACAGCTGCAAAGGAACAGATGTTGGCAGAAAATGAATGCACATAATTTTTGCAAGGAATTTGCCATGAAACTTGCAGCATCAAAAAAGTCATATGTTGCTTTTCAAACTATCCTTCTTTATTTAAAGAGTTCAAATAACTAACAAATAATGAACATTTAAAGAAGATGTCAAGAAGTTGGCTATCAATCCAAGAAATATCACCAGATATCTGTACTATATATTTACATGGACATGTAACATGAGCAGGATAGTTACAAGGATGGACTATAAGCAACAGTCAAATGATAGATGCATCATTTGCAGACAATATATTCAAGTCAAATCAAAGAATAGCTGTCATCACTAATCCTCAGTGTCAATAGCTACCTTCCTCTTCTAGCACTGACACAGATCTAACAGAAATTAATAGAAACAGAAATGGCATCTGACAGCAATTGCACTTACCAGAAAAAGTATTCCCCATTCAGACAGAACTTTGACATCTGTAAGATTTCTAATCAATGCAAATTGATTCAGTACAACCCCCGCAAAGAAGAAGCCAAGTATCTGAAAGCAATTACATTTTTTGGCTGTTATTATTAGGGATAGAAGACTATCAATAAATAAGAATAACGTCCATAGCTCTTCCATATTGGGTATGTATTTGAAGATTCCTCAAGCAACTAATATAACATTGTGTTTTACAAGTATGCTTGCCCTGGTTTATATAGATAACACGGACAAGCCTATATACATACATATTTATAGACATGTGACAACCTCTCATTTATCTGTGGTGCCAGTAAATTTAATGGCAATGAAGGAAAAAAGAATAATTTGTGAGAATTCTGGTACTAGAATTGTTTATCCTTACAGGGCTCGCTCTAATGATCTTGAATGCAGGAACAACCATGACAGTCACAGCCAAGAATGTCAGAGTATCAAATCCCAAATCATTGATGACATCAACAGCACTGGCAACATCAACTGCAGCATAGATCCGTGACCTTCCTCGGTTGATCAGTCTATCATCGGAGAAATTGAGTCCTCTCCAATTAGATGGTGAGGAAGATAGTAAAGGTGTGCCACCGAATATGGGCTTTAAAATAAGAGTGCAATTATTTGTTCTAACTTTTACTAATATTGGTCGAGAATGGAAGAGCATGTTATTGATATATGGCACATTAAAAGAATGCCCAGAAAACCATGACACAGCTTGACAGTGTGCACTGCCCGGGCTCTTTCGTTTAACAAAGTCATAACCCTGCAAGATGAAAAAAAAAAAACAAAGAACTAGATTGCAATTAAACCCTTCAACAGCAGAAAACTTGGATCAATTCCAAGGATGTTCATAATTCATAGGATTAAACGTTTAAGGAATTTTTAGCGTCTCAGTCTTTAATAAATAATTGTTTAAAAAAAATGAGACATCTTTTGAAAAAAAAAATGTTAATCCAAGACATAAGACTCACTAATTGAAGCCATTACTTGAATATTTTGAATTAGAGTTTCTCAAGAATCAAGTTTTAACAAATTTGGGTGGTGGAAAGTGATGGTCCCAAACAAATACAAACTTTGAAAAACAATTTTTAAATTTAACCAATTTGATATTTCCTTGAAATACCAATATAGTATAGGGAAGCCAAATCAAATAAAAAGAGCTTTAACTATCATATTCTGCGTAATATCCAGAACTTCAACTACTTAAAATATTATGGTTATCTTTTCCATTCTTATGGCCTCTCAAAATTTAACAAAGTCAGTTAGATGTGCAAATTGCGGTCTTGGAAGATTTACCAAAAGGTTCAAATGTAGGAGCATAACATACATGTGTAACATGAAGACAGTTCAAATTCTTGTTTCATTTGTCGGTAAAGAAAGAAACTCATGAATGCAAAAATTTGAAAAGAAACTTTAGAGAAAGAACAACAATTACTTTGCACTTTTGCAGTCCAAAAAAAATGTCAACGTTTAGAAATTGCATACCTTGGGACTATGGCAACAAGATACTGACTCGAACATGGTGTTTAAGGGCTTAAAGACTCAAGAATCAAGAACCAACTGAAACAGACAAGTTAAAAGGCATGTCCCTGATTCTCTGATAAACCCTAAAGATTTTTAAGTTCAGGATTCTTGAATCTTGAAAAGAAAAAGAGATAGGAAATCTGGGTTTTTTCTTTTTTTTTTTTGTTTTTGTTTTTGCTTTTGCTTCCCCTGTCTTATAGTTTCTTGTGGGTAGATAAAGGGCTAAAGAAGAGGAGAGGAAGAGACCACGACATGTCTAAAAGCCTGTGATTTTGGAGCTTGTAAGAATTCCTGGAATGAATTGAAATGTCCGGGCCAGAAGTGGTTTCTTTGGGGACTATGGTCGGGTTCAGACAAAGAAGGAAGTGGCTGATTTTTAAACTGGTAAATGGTCAGGTGACGTTATTACACGTGGCAGTTGCGGATGATATCGGAATGTAAGTTGATGATTCATCGGAGAAAAACAGACACGTCCGCTTAGATATGGGTTAGATTCTTTGACATTAAAAACATATGGTTGGGTTTAAAGCAACTCTTTCCTTTCATTATTGTTTTGAAGCCCTTCATAGTTATTTTCTTTACCCAGAAAAGTTGGATTTGTGGTGGAGGATTGGCCCGGAACTAAAATCCAATCGAAATAGAAAGTGCAGAAATTCTTAACTTGAACAGCAGCTGGAACCAGCAGCAAACTCTATTCATCCGTTCACCTTTTCCCACTCCGAGAAGCCGGGGATTTTGCCTTGTGGTAACCACGTGCAACTCAACAAAGAAACCCCAAAATCGTTTTGCATACATTGCAAGAAAGCATGAAGTTTTCAAATACAATAGAACCACAAGTAGAATTTGATACAGAAGTTGTTACATCAGTTCTTATTAGCATGACGTCGCGTTATCGCCATGTTCTATACATAATGAATAGTACTAAGATAACTGCTATAACAGGATTTGCTCCTAAGAATTTGCAGGAACAAACTTGAGTGATATGCTATTGACACAATGGCGTTCATTCGTGGGTGTTGGAAACCCTTCACCTTTAAATACATGGCCCAAATGCCCACCACAAGCTGCACAAGTAATTTCGATCCTCATCCCATCTGGGTCGGGCTGATTAAACATGATACTCTCATTAGTAACCTTTACTTGAAACAGAAACCAATTTAAGATGATACAGAACACTGGAAAAGAAGGAAATGCAAGTAGACCAGAAAAGGAAGGAAGCTCACATTGCAATTGATGGCTCCAGGGAGACCCTCATAGAAAGCTGGCCAACCACAACCGGAATTGAATTTTGTAGTAGATTTATAGAGTGGAGTCCCACATCCTGCACAGTTGTAGACACCCTCTTCAAAGAACTTGTCATATTCTCCAGTGCCAGGATACCTGTGGAGCATCAAAACAATGTCAAGAATCATTAATGGATATGTTTTAAATAACATGATCCGGTGTAAAATACAGTGAACAATTAAGCATAATGCAAATCTAATTTGTAGAAGGGTCTGGTACCACTTTGAGTAGAGTGACATTGATTAGGTTATAATTAAACAGCTACCACATTTTGAATAGATTGCCCTTAAGGTAATGCATGAACATAATAACTAAAAAGACAGCATCTTCGCCAATGGATCAATCAAACTCTGACAAGAGGTTAAACACCCATATCCAAAATTGTCAGACACAACAGAAATACTCCAAAAATGCCAATTTTCCATGAGTAATCTTTTCTTTTCTAATTTAATGTAGTTTATGAAATTACACACATTATTTTGATCCAAAAGAAAAAAAGCTCAAACTTTATACAATTTGACAAAAAAAAAAGTTATGGAATTGATTAACAGACTCAACACTACCCCTAGCTTAACAAACTTACTCAGTGCCCTTTTGTCTCAAAATTCGAAACTGCTCAGGGCTGAGAATAGCACGCCACTCTTCCTCGGATTTCTGGACCGACCCAGAAGCAGCCATGGCCACGACAGCACTCCCACGAAAGCTACGCTTGCTCTGGTGAAGGAACCTCCCAGACCCAGATGAAGAAATGGAACAAGAAACGGCCCTTGGCGAAGAAGATGAAAATCTCAAGCGGCAATTACAAGGAAGAACAGGATTAGAAGCAGTTCTCCAGTAGGAATTGAGACACCTAGAGAAAGTGGCAGGTTTGCCAGCCGTGGCGGTGGTGAAGAGCAGAGCTTTGCAGGAGGAAGAAGAAAAGGGTGTCGTTTTGAGGATGTGAAGGCCCATTTGAGAGAGAAAGATCGAGAGTTACCCCTTGTTCCGAATCAACGGGCAGACGAATCCCTCACTGATAAACCCAAAACGTCTAAACGACACGTCGTGGAAGGATAGAGAGAGGGTATTGGAGGAAAATAAAATATTCACACGAGTGTCTGTTTCCTATCCCAATTTGGTGCACGTGTGCATACACACAAGTATCCACGGATATCCAATACCCGATAATATGGAGTTTAGGTATTATATATTCGATTATAGGACGAATTTGACTAAAACTTTTTAATACTCAATTGGAATTTGGACAAATTTGGAATATACCTTTAACATACTTTAAACACGAACTCAATTATATAAAAATATATAATATATAAAATTTAAACCTTTATTCTCATAAAATTAATTTTTTATATAAATTTTAAATTATTTAATTAAATATTTAACAGATTTTAATAATTAACAAATTAAATTAAATTAAATTATTAGAATTCGATTTTAAATAATATTTTATGATTTTATTTAGATTTTTATAAAATTCATTACTTTCTTAATTAAACTAATTCAGGATGAAATATTTAACAAAAAAATAGTACCCTACATCCCAACCTTCGATACCCTCTGTCTCTCTCACGCTTCACTTAACTTCCCTTCTCTCTGGCATCAAAGCGAACCAGAGACTCTCGCGCTCTCTCTTCTCTCTGCGACTTTTCCTCTTCAATTTCGATCTCAAATCTGGTATCTTGCCTCAAATCTCAATTTGAACAGTTTTGTTTCTTCTTTTGGTGGTTTGTGTTTTCATGATTTCGTTCCCCTGTTTGTTTCACGAGAAAACCGAGGAAAAAGCATGACCCAAAGAAATTCTAGTCTTGCTTGTTATCATTCGTCATGTTTGTTTATTAACCATTTTTACTTTGGTATCCGAATTAAATGAAATAGGATGAAAGTTTTAAGCTTTCCGTTTCCTTTGTTTTCCGATCATTTCTTAGCAACCAAACATCATGTTTTGTAATCCAAGACTCCGAAAATTAAACCTTTGTGAATTCTGTTATTCCAGAAGGTATAAAGTTTGCATTCTATTCTTTGTATTTCATTATTAATGAACTCTCCTTTCTATTCTTAGTTGAATTTGGCATATTTGTAGTGTCTGACTGGTGGCATTTCTTTTTCTAATGCAGGTAACTAAGAGAAAAAGACTTGCTGAAGCTGCCTAGCTAAGGTCTTTTTCATTTTTCTTTATTTCAATTTTGATGATGTTATTAATAATTGATTCTCCAATTGTTTGTTCATACCATTTTTAGATAGTATTTTAGTAACATTTATGATTTTGTGTTCTATGGAGTCCTTTTAGGAGCTCAACTGTGTTTCTATTAGAAGTTACGACTTTCTTAAGTTGTGTTACATCTGGGTTTGTTCAATTGAAAATATGATCTGTTACTTTCTGTTCTCTTCAATTGCTGAGGAGCATTAAATTTTGACCTTGTGGTTAAGGGTAGAAAGTAATGTCCATTTCTTTTCGGTAGACGTATCATATTGCCTACCATCAGATCTGGCAATGGCCTTTGCCGATGATTCTATTATGTTTATTGGGCTGGTATACCAGGCAGCTTTAGATTTTATTAGTTTTAAACTTGACCCTCTTCTGAGACAAAGCTCTAAATCTTCAAACCTGTCCCAAATCATCTTTTGATACTAGTGATGTTGGCTACAACTTGTGTTTCTGAAAGCTATATAAGTAGTGCTGTTATTTCTTGAGCTTATCTTCTACTAGTTGATTTCCATGTGCACTTTTATGAAAAGAAAATCAGACAACTGGTGTAGTAATGCCTTATTTTTTAATGTAAGGTGGCTTTTCAAATAGACTCCAGTTGGTGTTGAGAAAATCAAACGTGTGTAAACCTTTTATCGTCCTTTGATGGACTTGAAATTTACTATAACATAAGAAAATGTTAAATGTATTATGCTGTTGTAATTTTGCATGATTGTGATTGTTACAGTCTGCAGTTCTACTTTATGCCAGGTCTAAAGCTTTGATGTGGAACGTCTAGTCTAATCTTTATCATTACAATGACAAATATCATGTCAATATTTTTTCCATGTCACTGCTTCTTCCTATATCACCATATCCTACCTTCGGCATAGTATCCATTCTCACACTCTGCTGCCAGATCTACAAACAAATAAATAACAGTTGTGATACCTGTTTTTTGGGTTTCATAGACTAGTGGAGCTGACATGTATGTCTAGCAGCATCTAGTGAAGCATTATAGCCAGCTGCTTAGAGAGTGTCATCCTTTCTTGAACAATTTACCCCCTTTAATGATGAGAAGTGTTCTCCGTTTTCCTTAGTTGTTAGATGCTCTATGTTCGTAGAGTCTAATTTCCATCTTTCTCAGATATATTTGCACTTAAAATTGTTCATCTCCGTACCTTACTAAAACTATAACTTTTATCTACTCTCTGCAGGAAGTTGTCATCAAGTTAAGATTAAGATATGGAACTGAACACCACAAAAGATGCATTTGACCATGTTGCTAAGAGGCAGAAATTATCTTCCTCTAAATCCCAAGAAGTAGTTGATCGAGTTGGCCATGAAATTGAGCAGGCATTGGCAAAAATCCAGGCCTCTAATGATCCCCTGTCCCCTATTGATCTGAAATCCATTCTTACTGAGCTAAAACTCAAGCTCAATACTATTGGTCCACTCCACCAGTTAGAAGGACTGCAGAAGGAACGTAACATAAATCTCAGCAAGTACCCCAAACTTCTTGAAAAGTCATTCAATCCTGACATATCCAAGGCATATAGAAATGTTGATTTTGACTTCCACATAGTGAATCAGATAATTGCAAGTCACTTTTACCGGCAAGGCTTGTTTGACCTTGGAGATTGCCTGATAAAAGAAGCTGGAGAACCTGAGGCGATTGCAATTAGATCTCATTTCTTAGAAATGTATCAAATACTTGAAGCTTTGAAGGTTAAAAACCTTGAGCCTGCTCTGAACTGGATCACTGCCAATCGCGAAAAGCTCAAGCAAAATGGTTCAACTCTTGAGCTGAAACTTCACAGGCTTCAATTTCTGGAGATTATCCAGAACGGAACTAAAGCTGATGCACTTAGTTATGCCAGAACTTACCTTTCTCCTTTTGCTTCCCTGCACATGAATGAGTTTCAGAGGCTTGTGGTTTGCATCATATGGGTAGGAAAGCTTGACAGCTGCCCACATGCTGAGTTAATGGCTCCAGCTCATTGGGAGGAATTTACTGTGGAGCTCACCCAACATTTTTGCCGTCTTGTGGGACAGTCCTCTCCGAGCCCACTGAGTGTGGCCATAACAGCTGGTATTGAAGGGTTGCCTACACTTTTGAAGCTGGCTAATGTAATGGCTGTAAAGAAGCAGGAGTGGCTAGCAATAAAACAATTGCCAGTGCCAGTGGAATTGGGGAAGGAATTTCAGTTTCACTCAATATTTGTATGTCCTGTTAGTAGAGATCAAGGCAGTGAAGAGAATCCACCAATGCTGATGCCTTGTCTGCATGTCCTATGCAAGCAATCGATCATGAAGCTGTCGAAAAGCAGCTCTCGGACATTCAAATGTCCTTACTGTCCAACAGAGGCTTCAGCTGCACAGTGCAGGCAACTGTATTTCTGATGAATATCATGATTGTAGAGCAAGTTTTTAGGCTCCTCCTCTTGTGGTCCTTAAATTTGTGCTTTGTTTTAAGCATTTTTATTTAAAGAAGATTGTATATAGAAATTCTTTGTACATTCACAGTTTATTTTTACAAGGTTTATCATTTGCACAAAACAAAGTCATGAAGGGCCAGCAAGTTGCAGATAAATTATCAGGTGAAATGTGTAGCCATGGAGAATAAATCTTTTAAAACAACAACATCGTACATTTATTATGCTTGTTCTTGGCTGTTGGTCCATTAATGGAAAGAAGAAAGGAACAAACAAAAACACATAGTAAGCATTACACCATACATGATTTTGATCTGTGATAGAACACTAGCTAAACAAGAAAAGAAAAATTCCATCAAATTAGTAGTGCTATAACATTTTACAAGTTCTTATGCAATCTTGTACAATCTAAGTATCTTGTGAAAACCACAACATTCTCTTCAAACCAGGAAACATACCTGAAGAAGATTTCTCATCCTGCAAATATTCATCCACCATTTCCACAACTGATCTTACAGATAATGGATGAAAATTGACACCCCAGTTATTAACAAACCCCTTAACTAAAACCCATTTCTCCTCTTCTTTCATCTTTCTCCAATTCTTGTTCACTTCCTCTTCTTTCAATGACAAATACTGGCACAACTCTGTGAACAGCAACTCTCTGCTCTGCCTTATGGCCTTCTCCTTTTGCTCCAAATGGGTATTAATCTTTTCGAGCGTAACTGCAAAATCCAGAGCAAGGGCTGTATCGCTGAGGTTTGTTTTCGCGCACGGGATGTTGTGAGTCTTGTTTGGTCTGTTGGTGATGAGAGTAGTGGTGCTGCAAGGATGGTTCAGGAACTTCCGAGGTTGTTGGAGGGCTTTCGGGGGAAAAAGATCGATCCTTACGGCCATTTCAAAGGTTGTCGGGTGATGGATTTGGTTTAGATAGTCGGAGGGCGTTCGTTGGATTGTTCAGATCAGAACGGAAACAGCGAAGTGGGAGATGCAAAGGCTCATAAACCATTTTAAACCCTTCATTGGGCCTCGGTGAATGAGCCTTGTACTCGAGAAGAAAAAGGATAACAAAATTTTGTTTAGTTTTAAGATCTCTATTGACAGGCATTGTTAGGCAGGCGACAGAAGTAAAGAATCTTGATGTTCTGAAGTCTTTCCGCGAATTTGTTTAAGTCCTGTTTCCACTTTCCAGTCATGGTTTGGACTCTAGTTTCAGAGAAGTTTGATCCTCTTTTATCTTTCCAAAAACTGATCTTATTTTTCCAATCTTTTATCTTTCCAAAAGATTGAAGTAATCTTATCTTTCCCAAAGATTGGAAAAACTTCCTGTGTCAAAGCAAAAGCTTCAAAAAGAAATATATAGAATGTTTCAATCTAACATAAGGCGAGTAAAAGAACTCGAAAACCTTAAAGTATAAATACTACACACTCTATCAAATTAATCTTGTTTTCAATAAATAAATAAAAAGAAGAGAATATGGAATAAAAGGAGCGAAGGAGCAACTATCTTAGCAATGTAACATGATTGTTCCAAATTGAGGGCAGTGGCAGTATGTTTCGAGAGAATAGCGTAATAAGCAACCAAGTCTGCCAAGAACAATGTGCTAACAATAAGCTGCACACTGACAGTTAATTTCCACGTTCAAAAAGCTTAAGAAGTAAAAGAATTAAGTGAATGAGTAGAAAAAAACAAAGATATCCTTTCTGGACATTTGAAATGTTCAACCTATAGAATGTGGATGAACTTCCCAGCTTATCTTTCAACCACCCCCCTTCTCCAACTCTGCCTGCACTCTCCAGAATAAAAGTAAAAACTAAAAACTTAATTGACATATAACATGTCATTGATCCTCTGTTATAATTGTAAAATATTTTGTATCGTGTGACTCTCCCCCCAACACTGAAAAAGAAAATGCCGATGTAAATAGATCTTAGAGGGCAGCAAGGTTCAATTTCTAAACACCCAACTATCATTCATCTCCAAAGAGACCAGTCTTGTGGCATTCACCCTGTATTCTGTATTCACATTGTCACAAATCTGTATACTCAGTGCATGTGGTGGTCGCTGTTTGGTGTTATCCAAGATGAATATTGAAACAATTCGAGAAGATTCTGTTCACATTGCATCACCCTGTCTTGAAACTATAAAGGATTAGTTGTGCCAGTATATCAACCCATGTGTCAGGGACACCAGGTAGGCACCAGTGCATGCAGTCCTGGCCCCATATCGACACAGCATCCTTCTTTCCTAACCAAATTGCGGGATGTGCATCTGCTCTGAACTCACTCAAATGAGTCAGATCAAGCAATTGAATGTTTGTTCCTTGCAGTGCCTCTTTAATTAGATGGTTAAGCGTCCGTGCTTCTTTGTTCACTCCATTGTTGCTGGGATCAAACCACAAGTCAAGCTGTCCAGGTATCAGTATCAAAATCCTCTGTAAATATAGCAGTGCACATTCCAAATATAGTTTAAAATTCAACGATTTTTCTTTAGACCAATAGTAGATTTGTCTTTAAAACAAACTAAATTTGGATTTGAATTGCTATACAAGGTATGTCACTGAAATTCAACACAACAAATTGGAAAATTATGGGACTCAAGTAAATGGACTATTAAACAAGACCAAACTATAATTGCAATTGAAGATTGGATAAAAGTTTGTAACAGATACCTGGTCCTCTTCAAGGGGCTTGTCAAATAAGCAACTGCCATTTTGATTCCACTCGCCACCATAAAAATGTCTTGGTGATTGCAAACGCCAGAATTTGAGGCTGTTCTTAGGAACTTCCTTTTCTATGTAGCGGACCATATTTTCAAGAACAACTTGAAGGCCATCCAATAATCCCAGGGGAGGACTAATCGGTCTCCCATGCTGATAAAAGACAAGAGGAGTCTCTTTTGGGAATTTGTCATAGCCCCACCTAATCAATACCAAATCAAACATTACTCCAAGATGATCTCAGAAAGGAATGGCCCAAGATGCCTTGCATATGCATATGCATGAATGAAAATGTGATTGTGTTGTTACGTATGTGTGAAGACACTCTACATTCATACATGAAACATCTCAAAAATTATACTAAGCATATATGGTGTCAAAAAAATTAATATCAACAGATATTTGTTTATTGATAAGCATCTTCTATAAATTAGCAAAAACAAAAGAAGATTACCAATGGCCAGTGTTGAAAACAAGAACATCATAGAAGTTCGTGATGCTGATCCATTCATCTGCAGGACTATCAACATCCACTCGGTATATTCCTTTCAGTCCATCTTGATCAGAAACCGTAGATTGTTTTGGCTTCCACCTTCATTAGTCAAGTACGAGCATGTGAAACATAAAACTAAGATAGATATCAAGGCTTCTAGAATTTCCATGGAAGACGAATTTAACAACATAGGGCAGAAGAATATGTATTAGTCACAATAACTGATGCCAAAAACAAGAAATATTTCGTGAAAATGCAAGTCAAAATAACTAAATTCATTATCACAACACTAATAAAGGCCCTAAAGAAAGGCAGTAGAATGGTTTAATTCAAGCGCCCAGAGGATAATGCATTAATGGATGTGCCTGCATTTTACCAATTTCCTCTAGTAAATCCAAAAATGACCTTCTCATTACTCAACACAGTTTCAGTAAGTTTCTTTTTCCTAATCTAAATTTGTGAATTTTCAAGCATCACAAAAAAAAAAAACAAGTGAAACATAAAATTATCCCAATAGCATTTTCAATCAATCACAAAATCAAGAACTATTAATGAAACAAACTCAAAAAAACCAATCTTGAAAAGACAATAAGTAGAAAAGCTTACTTGTATTTTGCAAGCAAAACAGCCCTATGATAGGCAACCGTGACATTATACTTGGGAAAATAAGCCCCTCTCCAGGCACCCTTTTTCTTCCACTTTTTAGCACCTGAATCAGCCACTCTAAGCACACACAAAAAAGACACCAAAAAGTTTTCATTCAAAGAATCCCCAACAAAGCCAATATTCCTATTTCTCATCAAACCCAAGAACCGCCAGGGGTCAATTCTCTCCAACCTGCAATCATTGGGTACCCATTTCCAGGAATTGATTATCCCCATGTTGTCCCTCTTATTCTTAAGGCAATTCCAGGCGTTTCTATGAAATGGGCAGGAATCATCGTAGAAAGGCTTCGGCTTGGTGGAGTCTAAGACCCAATTGCCATCGAAAAGGTTGCAAGAAGAAGAGGACGAAGGAAGGAACTTTTTAGCAGGAAAGGAGGGGGGCTTGTTGGTATAAAAAGGCAGGAACGTGGAGTACACGAATAGGAAAACAAGGGAAAGAAAGATGATTGGTGGTAAGAAAGAAGAAGAGAGCTTAGGATGCATTTGCGAAGAACAACATCAATGCCAGTAGATTTCTCCTCTTTGCAATTGAAGTGAACTAGGAGTTCTTATTCTAATTTTGTTCTATTCCGCCTAGGCTGTCTACTTGTCTTGGATCCACAAGTTTTCACATCTACAATGGTCGATTTAGACAAATCTCACCTTGGGTGTTCTAGCAATGGACCTTCACCTACAACAAACAACCTTCCATGGGTCAAGTTGCCATTTCTGCTCATTTGCCCAACTCATTTCAGATTAGAGATTCAGAGACGATTTGTGCTTGTTCACTGCCAGAGGTGGGCTTGATACCCATCTTGTTTTGGGCTATTATTATTGTTCTCCTGTTGTGTTTGGAATCAGGCCGGTAAGATATCAATTGATGGAGAAGGAATTCTTATTTTTGAGATATCTTAATTTTTATTTTATTATTTGATAAGATATATACCGAATTCTATAAATACTAAATGAAATACAAAACTTTAGTTTGTGATGGACATTTGGACTAATTTTAAAAGAACAAGTACATTTTTTCATCCAAGTTCTAAATCATTTAACTGAATTTTTTACATGTATTTATCTTCTTAGTATTATCTCTTCATTATTCCATCTGGATATGATTATATGAAGATAGCATTTTATCTTTTATACATAAAAAATGGTGGGGGAAAGGCGAAAATAAAACCTTAAGCATAAACCAACAAAGATTCCATAACACAAATTAGTGCCATATTTTTCCATTTATACAACACAAGTTGGCACAATTGCAAGCCTCTGAATCTCATATCCTTCCTAATATATCATGCGTCATCAGATTTTATTTGTACATATCCATATATAAATATATAAATATACAAACACCAAGCACGAAAGTAGCGCCCATACATGTAGGGACACCTGGGAATCACATATAGGCATCATGCATGACAAGACAGAGAGAAGCAACCTCTTAAAGCAAGCCACTTAGGTGATATATTATTGGCATGGTCATCACTGAACCCAAATCAGATCCCCGGCAGAGAAGAAGTGGCACATTGGAGATTTGCCTTGCTTGTCTGTGAGGTTAAGAAGGGCGGCGCTAGCGGAGTCCATGTGGCAAACGGCAGCAGCATCTACTTTGTCTTTGGTGTTCTCACCAACCATTGACACCTTGAAAACCCTGGTCTCGCTTGAATCCTCATCATAGTGGCAGAAGAAAACTGCGTAAGGGTAAGGCATGGGGTGGCAAGCTACTTTCCTGAAAGATTTAATCTCTTTTGGGGTTTCCAAAACCCTGTAGTTTTGTAATGAAGCAGTTGACATTGTGGGGTGTGTTGTTGTAACAAATCTGGTATCTTGAGGCGCCCCTTTAAAGGCACCGCTAACAAAATCAACCATGGATTCCAGGGAGGTAGCACAAGTCTTGGTCTCTCCCTTGCCAGGTGCAATTTCACATTTTTGAAGCGTATCCTCCATGGCCTTGGCCAGGGAAGAACCTGGAGGAATCGAAAACAACTGGAGGATTTCTGGAAGCTTTGAAGACGAGAAAGGGATGGAATCAGCTACTTTCTTTGGCAAGAAAGGAGATGTAGCAGGGTCTTTGTTAGGAAAGAGGATTGGTAACAATTTTCCCGGATGGAAATTGTTATGCAGCTCATCGACAGTGAACAAGCCTCCCTTGGAGTTCTCCATGTTGTCATGGGAATGATCACGAAGGGAGTACTTCTCCACAAGAGCTCGAAGAGAAGTCTTTTCTGGTGAGGCGATGTTCACTGTTTTGTGGAAGTCGGAAATTGAGAATTTCCCTTCAAGGTCTCTTGGGGTGTCTCTCCAATTCCATCCATAAGGCTTGACATCCCTGGCTCCATCGATGCCATGGCCGCACTGCAAGGAAACCCATGGTTAACAAATTTAGTAACTAAAATCTTTCAAAAAAAAAAGAGAGAAATTACTGTTGGTAGCTTACTATTAAAAGCAAAAGATAGGAGAAAAGGAGCCGGTGGGTGAATCCTGCCATCTTTAATTTCCTGTTCAAGTTCGTTACTCTTTTGCTTGAACTGTGAGTGTATGCTTGGCTACGAGCTCATGTATTTATCAAGAGGAAGAAGTAACAAAATTACAATAATGCCCACTGCATGGCCCATGCAGCTTATCAAAAAAAGAATTCGTTAATGGCTAGTACTATTCATTTACCTGAAAACAAATCTTATAATTTGATATATACTTTCTTGCATGGATAATAGTTTCCATTATCCACGCACGAAACCCCTAAGTTGGTGTTTAGATTTTTGTTGAGAATGTGATTGCTAAAAATATTATTATTAAAAAAATAATTATGCAATGTTTGGTATACCAAGATGATTGTACGGAACATGATTATTAAAAAGATTATATTATAATATTTGGTTTGAAAGTATTTTATTAAAAATGTAACATAAATTTACAAAATCACTTTTTTATGTGAAAAGATATAGTTAAATACCTACATTTTTTTGAAAACATCCTGTTCTCTAGCAAAACCATACACCACAAAATCACTCACACCATCATCAAGAAACCATGCCCCGGCAGACACATGATGCAAAAATAATAATAATAAGTTTATGTTTCTTTTATAAAATTGATTAAATTATTTTTTGAAATGGTGAATAAAAATATAAGAAAAAAAAATGAAAACACCAAATAAAAGAAAAAAGCAATGAAATCTAAGGAGTGTTGAAAGCTGTTGCTGGTTATTTTCTTACTAATTTACTTTGTTTTGCACCCAACAAAGTAAAAATAACGCTATGCCGTCAGATCCTCCTTCCAAGCGAACCACAGATTAAGTGCTGTGAGCAAGAAAGAGAAGAACGGAGATGGGTTTGACATTTACAAAGCTCTTTAGCAGGCTTTTTGCCAAAGAAAGATTGCCTATTTTGATGGTGGGTCATCATGCTCAAGCTCGATGAAGAACAAGAAAAGAACCATGGCAACTGGTATGAAAATCGTTTTTGGAAGAGGATCGAATTCTGGTGAGGACAATTTAGGAAAGAAAATAAAATTTTAACTTTCCATTCACGGAGGGAAACGGAATGATATTTGCTTTGCACCTTGCAATCTCCTTACAATGAGAAGACTTTCCCTTCATTTTGTTTGCAAACCAAATATTGTAAACATAAAATGCAAGAAATCTTCCATACTTGTATTATACCAAACACCTCTTAGACGGAACTTAACTCGTAAATCATTCAATAATGTGATTAAAGATATTACTTTTATAAAATTAAAGAAATTACAATAACAAGACATTATTTCAAGCATTCAATAATTAACATATGATTTTTTTACTCAAAAAACAACGTATGAATCCCACTTTCTTGTACGATCATATTATTAAAGATGATAATTTTTTTAAAAAAATAAATTTCTAAGCGTCAACGTAACAAATTAGACTATACTCGTATTGATTCATGAACAAATTTTGTTCACGAGTGTATGAGTATTTCCTTATCACACGATAACAAATTTGATTTAGAGCTGTACATTTTCTAAAATATGTTATTAAAAATATCTTAATAATATTTTTTATATTACTTTAAATTTATCTGAGTTAAGTAAAATTTTAAAATTAAATTATACAATTAGTCTCTATATGTAGATTTAGTCTTTATATAATAATTTATAAAAATTAAATTTTTATATTTTTTTAAAATTAACAATATCAGTCTAATCATTAATAATATTAAAATTTTTCTATTATTTATGTTGACATAATTTTCTTTTATTCGTGTGGCATTGAACATGATAATTCATTGATGATAACATATATATATATATATATATATAAGCACATGTAAACAAATGCAAGAAGTAATTTAAATCTGAAATCTTCTAAAATCTTAATGTGTTCTTTTTCTCTAATTAGACCAAGATTTGCACAAATATTGTAGCTAGTAAAAACTTGATTAATTATATTACCAAAGTGTGGTAAAATCTTATAATATACTTACTAATTCAGACAATACATAAAAAACTACAGCACAAAGTGATGGAAATCTACTCAAAAGTCATATAATAATGTAATTTAAGAAATTCGTGCAACAAGATATGATTCAAGTGATCAAACAGATACTTAATTCAACCGTTAGTACACGATTCTTCGCTTAAATAGTAAAATTTGAATTATTTAGTTTTTTCAATTCGGCTCAATAAGAACCGTGTTTTGTAATTTTTTTTCTCAATTTTATTTAATGTGAATCTCGTTTTGAGTAAATTTAATCTAATTTTATATCAACTATTCAATTTTATCCAAATATAAAAATGCAGACAAAATTATAAAAGACAAGGCTACCAGATCTTTTTTTTTTTTCCTTTTTGGTTTTCCCCATAAATTCTGACAAAAAGGGGAACTGTTACTTGAGAAAGACTAAACCATTTGTTCTTATTGAAATCAAATCTTCTGTGTTGCAAATAATTGAGAAATATTTGGAGTAAACGTGGCAAGAGACTTGCGTTAGAGCAAATTTGGAACGTACACTGAATTATCATCACCGTCTTATCCTTACCGACAGACCAAACAAATTATTGCAAGATTTGTCTGTTCCAATATAGGTTCATGTCTACTTCCCCAACCTTTATTAGCTTTATTAGCAATAATTCATGTTAAAATATGTTTCTTTAATTATCTCCCACAAAAAAAATTATCAAAAATATTAATTTTTAAAAGTAGATTTAAAGGTAAAATATGGTCACTTTAAAGTTTAAAGTAGAATAAAGACAATACTTTTAATATTGTTTTGTTACGTAAAAATTATTAGACATTTTTAAATAAATATGAGACATAATCCCATATTACAAAGAAAAAGTCATATCTATCGAAAATAAAAAAATAAAAAAAAATCATGTCTATCGAAAATAAAAAAATAAAAAAAAATCATGTCTTATGGTGGAAAAGACACATAGTCATAAAGGTTTGAAACAAACATAACTCTGTTTATTGAGAATAAACACCTAAGACTAAAAAAATGACATTCATTTAAACAATAAAACATACAACATAAAATAATAATAACAATCTTTCTTTCCTTTTTCAACATTCTCCAAGTTCCCTTCTATATCATTTTGTTGTAAAAAAATTTTACTATATTCCAGTCGAGTGGTTAGTGGATTAATTTCATCAATACAAAATACTATCAATCATTAAATTTCTTTGTATTTTTGAAATATATATATATATGCTAGTAACATTTTTACATATTACAAGTGAAAACGAATAAAATTTAAAAAAAAATGACATTGTTACATGCTTTAGAAGCTAATTTTTTTAATTTTTTTAGTTTCGTGTTCTAACAAAAACGTATGTTATCTAAATAAATGCAATTAAAATCCAAATTTTTGAAAAAAAAAAAATATCCCTAAGTTTTAGAATTTAAAGAGTTTGTTAAAGGTTCAAACTTGTTTATAATATTGTAGAGTTTCCAAATTGAGCTCAAATTAAAATTGCAAAATGAGTCTGAATATTCTCTGGTTCCTACCAACTTAATACCTAGGGGCCCTTTTGTAATTTGATTTAACTATGTATTAAAGCCCAATATTAGGCTTTTTTTTTTTTTGGGTAATCTGGGCCCTAGAAAAATCAGTGTCTATGGTGGCTAGAAACCCTACTTATCTTATTCATTGTTTTGATTGATTTTGATACTAAGCTTGGGCCCTCGAACCTTGAACAGTGGCTTCAATAATTAAAATGAGTGAAGGGACACCATTTTATAAATATAATTTATTTACATTTTTTTTTCTTTTGAAAGTTATTGGTTGAGAAAAGAAAGTGAAATGAAGGAAAACTACATTGCTTTTATTGCTGGGTGTTGAATGTTGCCAACAATTTGTGGTTATATGAAGATATCTTTCAAAGTTCTTGCTTCATCCTAGGTAGGACTAGGATTGGAAATTTTATATACAACACAATGACACGATATGAAGTTAAGCAAATTTAAATTTAAAATAATCATGTTTTATGTTTAATTATCTCAATACAATTTAAACATTAAAATTTAGTATCTTAAACATGTAAAATGTGCTTAACTTATTTAATTAAATAATGTTATCACGTACTTGTATAATCCGTGACTATTTAATTATTCATTTAATTTGTCATATAAATGTGTTTACTTGAGACATTTATGACTTAATTATAATTTATTTAAACAGTCATATAATTACTTTCTTTTGTTATGGTTGATGATAAAAGTGGTGGATTTTATTATACTTGATGGATATATATTATTGTTTTATTACAATTATTAGTTTCAAATTTGAATAATGAAGTTATATTTTATTTGTAATTGTATGCATTTTAATTTAATTATATTACTCATGTTAATCATTCAAATGAATTATGAATCACGTCGTGTCATATAAAATTGAACTCGACTCGTGTAATAAATATGCATGTTAAACATATATTGTCATTGTACATGTTAAGTAAACGTATTTATATTTATATTTAAGATCTGAATATGTTCAATTAATTGTATTATATTTTTATGTATTTGTATAATTATTAATACTTAATATTTACAAAATAAAATTAAGACATGTAAACCGACCAATTAAGAAAGAGTAATTTTCCAAAACCTAGGGTGTCTTTACGTTGAACCCGAACCAGTTATTTCGATTTGTATGTGTGTAGACAGAGAGTCCATACCCGATACCCCATTCATCAGATTGCGCTTTATAGTGACGGCCCAGGTTTCGTCTCCCTTGTTGTTTTAATGGTTCGATTGGGCTTACTTTGAACCATGCGGGCCTTTTGTTTTCCTCGGCCGCAGTTTGAGTTGGTTCATATTACTACAGGCCACAGGCTGCAATAACTCTAGGTAGAACTTGATTTATGTACTGAAGGCAGGAACATAGAGCACACAGAAACATCAGCAATGGTGGCTAAACATCATTCAATGCAGATTGTAACATTATTGCACATAGCTAATGTATGCACTTCATTAAGTATCTTTGAAGTCTAACCAGGCCTGTACAGTACATTCGAGCAGGCAAAGGCACCCACACTAGACTATCTGGAGGGAGGAAGTGACACACTGGGGAGGATCCAGGCTTGATTTTGAGCACACGGAAAGATACATGATCATGGTCCCATTGAGAGGTATCCATGTGGCAAACAGCTGGAGCCTGCGCTCTGTCTCCATTTTCAGCTCCTAGTGAAACCTGAAACAGCCTGGTTTCACTCTTTTGGCTGTGGCAGTAGAACACTGCATAAGGATATGGCAAAGTGTGACATGCAATGATTCTGGAACTGAGGATCTGTTTAGGCATGTCCAAAATGGTGTAGTTTTGTAGAAAGACGGTCGGCTCTTTGGGGACGGTAGCGGTTAAAACCTTAAGGTGGGCATCCGAGCCAAAGACAGAGCGAGCAAAGTCGAGCATTGATTCCAGGGAAGTGGCACAGAACCTTATCTCCCCTTTGGTGGGTTCAAGTTCACATTGCCGAAGTGTATAATCCATGGCTTTGGCTTGGCGAGAGTCTTTAGAGAATGAGAAGAACTGGAGAAGTTGTGGGAGTTGTGTTGATGAGAAAGGAATGGAGTTGGCTTCTTCCCTGGATAATAGATGAGGAGAGGCAGACAGGTCTTTACTGGGGAGGTAGACAGGCATTGTTTTGCCTAGCTTGAGGTCATCTATCTTGAAGAATATATTAATTGAAGGGTCCATATGGTCCTTGTGGGCTAATAGATGAGTATGGCCATCCATGGTGTTGGAAGGTTGCTGCAGATAATTTTTGCTGCCACCTTCCTCCTTAAGTTGTCTGTGAGTTATTTTCCGGGCATTACCGGCTTGTGCACACTGTAATCAAAGTTGACAGAAAAAATTAGATGCTGAAACTAAACGAGCAGTGGGAAAGCATGTTGCAGCATCAGAAAAATTAATCCATAAAATGTAAGTTGAATTCTATGAAGATAGAAAGTTTGATGAACATAAACCAAGCAAGTTTATGCTGATTCTTACCATCAAAGCAAGAAGAACAGAAAGGTAAATGCACCAGGAAGCAAAATCAGAACCCATGTCTCTGACTGGAACTCTACTTTCTTGTGTTTTATTCTTCTGCTTCTTCTGAAATAAAAGAAACAGCACTCAACTAAATCAATTGGAGACTTTTGGCTAAGCAAAGATTGTATTTTAATGAAATGAATTATATATTGTGAAATAATGTACTATTAACCAATATAATATGTCCCCCAGATAGCATCATATACATCTTTCTTTTTTATGATAATTGCTGTAAGGCAACTTGCAACTTGTCTGACTGATAGAATAGAACCTGTTTCAATGGACAGGGTAGTGGTTGTTCTCAGGTTTTAGTCAAATGGTTATGTCATTCGATTTTGTTTGGCTCTATGGTCTTACGCCAAATAAACTGTGCCTTTTTGAAAGTTAAGACTTCCTTCACCAAGTGAAGTTTATCTTAAGCTGTGGGCTGTTGGTCTATGCAGCAAACCTGGGCTAGTCTAAACTGCACCCTAATCACATGCTTATTAAATTACAATAAACTTAATCATGTTCCTTGATTCATTCCATCTTGGCAAGAATCACATGTTAAATGAACAAATACAAAGAATGTATAGATTTTCCTGCAGAGGGGTGCGTTGTGAAGTGTGAACTGACACTAAAGAACAGAAAAGATGAGGTTTGTGGTGGTAGTGGGATAGAAATTCTGCAGAAGAGTTGACTATCGCCCTGGTGTCCTAGTGCAGAACGTACCCTGTCAGGTACTCAATGAATATATGCATGTTTCAACGACAGAGCAGTATCAAATAGCACTGAAATCTTGTTGGTTTCTTCATTGAAATGATTAAAGCAACATCAAAATCTGGTAAGATGCCCTTACGTTTCAAAGGTGGCATGTCAGCTATCATGGAAAATCCAACTAGCAGGCCAATAGAGGATCCTGTAACCTCTCTTCAACCATCTTCTAGACTATTGCTTTTGAAAGAGAGGGCTGATTCCATGGAAATTCTTATGGAGAAGATTATTGTTTTCTGTGATCTTTGAAAATACAATAGTTCTCCCATGAACATATACATCAGCTAATGCCAATTTCATAAACTTTTTTACTCTTTTTTCAGTTGTCCTATTCCTTTGCACATGGAAAATCATTGCCATTGTTTTATACAGCTAGGTCCCTGCAAAGTCCAATTGCTTATGATGAACTAATTACTTACACTTTCTTCTTTGTTTTGTTTTTGCTGGTTTTTTCTGTCTCCTGACTCTACCAGAAGAACATCAACTTTCAGCAATCTTTTCACTAATTGTCAAGAAAGAAAATGCTTCCTACCTCCACCAGGCACCTAAACCTTGCAACGATTCATTGAATCTTACTACACACAGTTTTACTGTTCTTTTTCTTTGCCTAGAGTTGACAATGTGAACGATGGACCTTTCTTTAGAACTCTTACGAAAGCGATCTTATCACGACCCCAACAAGGCCATCAACACGCTTTCAAGGAACTTAATCCATTGCTTGGTAGATAAAGCACCAACAGATCTTTGACTTATGGAAATTAAGTTGGATTTGCCCCTCTTCTTCCATTAAAGGTCACAGTGCTTTTAAACCCTTTCTCCTTTAGTTAATCCTTTCCTTGATAGTGAAGCAACAAGGAAAAGAAGCTTTGTTGCTTTAACTGTTAGGATTAGGATTTAGGTATATCTGTTAAGAACTTCTCGCCAATAGTTCTATAACTTGCTGTGCATCTCCTTCCATGAAGATGATGGAGGTAAAATGGGTTATTTGCCATCATATAAGCAGATCAAATTAAGCGAAAATAGAAAGAAAGCAAAGATGAAATTCAAAAGCTACAACCAGGCTTATATGTATGATATGCAGATGAAGTTGACTTTGGCACATCAGGCAAAGGGAGTGATCATGTGCCCAGCAAATCACAGCATAATAACCATATTAAAAAGGTAAAAGACTAGACCAAAAGTTTATGAGAAAACAAAGATGCTGTGCATGAATGACGCAAATGGAAACAAAAAAAGTACAACCAGACAATATTTTCTTTGATAAGCACAAAATGGACAATTGCAGCAAGTTGACTTTAGGCCTGGGATGAGCCAACCTAGAGTTGTCGTGGGGGTCTCAGAGTCTATCTAACCCTCTTTCAACCTTGTCCCTGTCCAATTTGTTCCTTAGAGTCTTAGCCACTTCCCATTGCACTTAACTTTATTGTTGGTCAGCTTTTAATCAGCAATAGGATCATGCAAAAGCATATGAGAATCTATAGACCCATCTTCAAGATTAGAATAATAACAAAACCTAATAAAGATAAACCGATGGCTGAATTTCCAACACTTTCATATTGCATGTTACCAAACTGATGAATATGTTAGGATAATACCGTTAAAATCTACAGGTAGGCTATGTTTGACATGTTGAAGGGTAGTAATGAATAAAGGTAGTGTTTCTAAGTTTTATGAGGAATTACGGTTGTATTCTAACATGTTTGTTTTCTATGATCAGAGGTCAAACTTTAACAGAAAATTTTTAAGCTTGGAAACTTGTCATGGTATGTAAGCATGACTCTTCATGGCATCAACCCAATATGATTTTCTTCTCCTGATCCCCCAAACCTTGTTTTTAATTGCACCAGAACCTGTAAATCATGTGTTGTTCACTAGTATTTCTCACATCAAACAACTGATAATGATGGAAAATGATTCAAGCAGGTTGCTAGCTAGTGTGTATGACAAGGACCTTACATCAACTGTTCATTGCAGAAACCAAACCGGCGCAAAGCATTAGCCATAAGTTGTTGAAGAAATGATTAATTAATTTTAAACCTGGCCATTTATTAAGTCAACGAAACACTAAAAGATTTCCTTTCTTTAACGTCCTTGAATTGGTGTTTGGCACATCATCACTCCAAATGGTGGCACCAGAACAAAGTGATTGAACCATGACAGGATGATGTTCCACCAAGAAAAACCATTTCTAAATTCTATCTTTCCATGAATTAGGAAAGCTTTGTTTGTTGTTAGGGGCTTATACTCAGTACTTTGTAAGTAGTACAGATTACTTAATTTAATCAACAGGCTTGAAAACATAAGTACAATTGATGACTAATGAGACCCAAATTCCCAGTACTGGTGGAGATTTATTACAAACTGACAGGATTGGGAGAAAAGAGAGGTTAAATCTCTGCTTGTCTGTGTTTCACACCTCCAAAAAGTTACATAGCAGAACATAATCAGGAGGTCAAAAGTCTGTTATTGCTGTAGTTTTATCAGTCTCCCCAGCTTAAAAAAATTGAGCATTCTATAAAGAAATCTTCATGATATTGCTAAAGAAATTCCAACTATGCTGCCATTAAAACGTGGGAATATTGTCCACCACCAAATGTGATAGAAAATGGGAAAAACCATTTGATTATCTCCTTTCATGAGGTCAAAGCTGACTCAATCTCATGGTTTTTTCATGTCAGAACAAGTTGCCATTGGACTCTGAAACTTTGCGGCCCAAATGGTATCCAAAGACCCTTCGCAAGGAAGGAGAACCTACTCCATGATCACAACAAAATTTACTAAAATAATTATATTATGTAGAGCTTACTTAAGTCAAGCAAACTATTTGTTTAACAATTTCTTCAATGGAACAGTGACGTAAAATAGACTAATCACTATCTTGTCCTTTGCATATGGCCTATAAATGGTTAGTCAGTCTGGAGCAGTTTACAATACAAAATAGCAAAATCTAACCGTGTTTCAACAGGCTTCAACAGTCTATCAAGGACATGAAGACTTTCTTTGCTATCTTCATTTTCTGCTTTCTTCTCCTGGTAAGCATTTCACATCTAAGTTAGTGCAGCGAACTCCATTGAGGCCCGATTTCTGGAGGGTTATGTTCAATCAAAGTTTCAAGAAAAGTTGATAGCTAATTATGTTTCTATGAAGTTCTTCAAAATAATCCAATCTCAGTTTTCATTCAGTTATGATTAATGTTTTTATCTCTGATGTTTTCTTGGATAGTCTGCCAACCCCAACCACGCGAGAAAAGAACCAGGGGACTATTGGAAGAGTGTAATGAAGGATCAACCAATGCCAGAAGCAATCAAAGGCCTTTTGCATCAAGATCCAGCTTCAGCTTTGGGTTCTGAGAAGAACATGAAGCACTTTGTCACGGATTTCGACACCAGACATAGCGCTATAATATACCACAGCGGTCCCCAGTCTAAAGTAGAAGACAACCCTCAAGTCAAGGACTTGAAGGATCAGAAACAGCAAAAATCTGATAAAAAGAACTAGACAGAAAGCTTGAATTCATGGAGGTTTCCATGTCCATACGATGTTTGTAGCCAGTAGTGTGCTTGGTTGGTGATTAGTGTTTAGAAGTCAGAACTAGCTCTGGGTGTTGGGATTAAACTAGGAACTTTTCTTAGTTATTCTTCAATCTTGCTCTTGAGCTATTTTGATCGTTGGGTATTAAACTTGGAAAACTTACTGCTTAATTCTATATAAACCTAATTTAAGCAAATTGCCTCAGTTACTATTAAAGGATCTGAATATCCTGAACATATAAATATAACAATAGTCTACCCGCTCATTTCTTATAACAAAGAAGGAATGATGTATTTATTGGGTAAATAAATCATTCTCAAGATACATGTTGAACACAATTAAACAGAATAATCAAGCAATGTACACTGATTATTAACTTGTACAACAAAATATCTGAACTAAAAATTTTCTGTTGCATCAAAACCAAAGGCAGAATAAATCCAGGGAGCAGATTTCTGCAGGACTGCAAAAACTTGTTGGCCTGACCAAAGCAATCCTATTTTTCAGGACTCGTTTTGAGCAGTTTCCTTCCTTAATGCCTGAAGTCTTTCCTTCAATTTCTTACTCTGTTCAAAGTTGGCCTTCCTCTTCAAAGCTTTCTGCAGAGAAAACTCATAAAAATTCACACTTCAGAGTCAACAAAATTATGTTCTAATCTGGGAACAAAAACACCAGTAAACTTACTTCCTGGCGGAAACAGCGATCAAGCTTTATCTTGAGTTCTGTACATTCACCAAAGAATTTTGCTATGGGGTGGTCTGAATGACACTTTTGGAACTGCTCGATGATCTGCCAAAGACAACATCGATTAACCAAAAGAGAATCCTTCCAACAGCTAAATATTCAAAAACCCATCAAATGTAACGAGAAGAACTTACCTCAGCACACATCGGGTGCCTGTGTAATGTCAAAGGAGGGTGCATTTTTCCAGCGAAAAATGTTCAATTTATCTGTATCCTGAACAAATTAACGAGCAAATTCAAGACGAACTGGCAAAACATTCAATACCCAAATAATCCCACCAAAAGTATTAACAAGAAAAGGAAAAAAAAAAGAGAAGAAAAATCTAAATTAACCATTTCTTCAATTTGTTTAGCATTTAAACAAGAATATTCAAATTAAAACTTGAAAAAGAAGATCTATTCACTTTTCGGAGCAAGTTCATGGACTAAAGTAAAACCCAATTTCCAAAGATACTGTGGGTCGCAAAACGTACCGTTTCTAGTTCGTCGCAGTAACGGTAAGAGTCGTGAGTCGTGAACCAGAAACCTGCAACTTGCAACGATGAAGCGAGGAGACGGCGCCAAGATGGGAAGAGATAAACGGCACCGTGCTTGGCCATCATATAAACGGCGTCGTTTCCTTCTTTTATACTGAGAGTAAGTTTGCAATTAGAAAGTCATGTTAAAAAGTAAAACCTATAAAGTTTCTTTTTTTTTTGTTCACAGTAATTTTAATGTAGGTTAATTTTTTTCTCATTTTTAATAATTTGATTATAGTCCAAAATATACTTCTATTGCAATAATTTGAAAAACCTTAAAATAAGAGTTTCCTTCTTTAATTTGTAGACAATGGAAACAACTTATTGTGCTTGCATTGCGTTCTTATCTTATAAAAAAGTTATCAGTAAATAAATATAATTAAGATATAATATTTAAATTTTTTTAAATTATTAAAAAATTTAAATAAATTTTTATTTTTATTACTTTCAATTAAATCATGATATTTTTATTTTTAGTTAAATTAGTTATTATGATTAATAATTAATTATTATTAATTAAGATACCACTTATCATTTTATGTCACATAATGTTGATATGTTATAATAAATAATGACATAATATATTAATGTGATATGTTGATATGACTATTTGATATTTTTTACTCTCTATATCAATATTAATAATAAAAATATAAAAATTTAATTAAATATAATAAAAAATAAGAAATTATTTAAATTTTTTAAATAATTCGAAGACTTTTCAAAACATTATAACTTTAATTAATCATAATAATTGTGAATAAAAAATAATTATGTGATTACTATAGAAAATATAAAATTTAAAAAATTTGAATTTGAATGTATTAAGGTCCATGATCTAAAAATTTCTGATTAATTCAATTATTAACTTAATTAACTAATCTAATTCCATTAAAAAAGAATTTCAAACAAATACCTTTCAAGATATATGCAATTAATATGATTTAAAAATTATTTAACCAAATTAATCGGAAACAAAGCTCTTGCTTTTATATTTTATTTTATTTTATATTTTATATTTTATTTTATTTTATTTTATTTAAGTGCCAGTCATGAGCGGAGATTCCCTCGCAAAGATGCCTGAATGCGTCACCGGCGAGGGCAGACTGGGACTGCTGAAGGCATTGAATCGCGACGAGATTCTGGAGGTTTTATCTCAGGGGTTTTGCCAACACTGTGAACCTCTTTTGGAGGAACGAATTCAAGGTGTTTTGAATAGTAAGATAATCACTCACCCTTCTTCAAATTCACTTTCTTTTTCTCTTTTTTTTTTTTTTCTGTGAAGGGTTTTCTCTTGCACCGACTTATCAGGGTTTTAGATGAACTTGAATTGATTAGATTTTCAATTAAGAATTTACTTATCACTGTTTTGCTTATGCTTTGTCTAATTTTCTGTAGAAAGCTGTATATCTTACTCAATGTTGATTAACTTCATTGGTGTTTTTAGTATAATTGTTTTTCAAGAATATCGGAGCTTTGAATGTAGTAAATGGTTTTGGCTACGGTTATGTAGTAATCTTTCTATGATTGGAATTGGGGTTTTCACGGTTTGGTTTGATAGGCGTTGAAAGCGTTTATCCAATTTTGCCATTTTACTTTGCTTGCATGTCTGTTACTAGAAAATTTTTGAAGCAATTTATTCACAAATGTTATATCATGATTTCGTTCCAGAGAGAGTGAGCAAAACATCTGGTTTGTATTCCTCGGAGAATGACTCAGAATCTGTTATCAAGTCACCTGACCACGAAGCGACCAGGGCCTCAAACGCTATCCCACCACCTAATTCAGTGAGCAGCAAACAGCTTGCTCGTACCTCCGCAAATTCTGATATGCTCCTTAATGATGGACTTGGTGGAACTTCCTCTGCGATTGACAATGGCTTATCAGAGGAGCAAAAGGAGCAGATCAGGTTTTCGCAGGTTGGCAGGAAAAAGGATTTTGTTCACATGGAGAAGATCAATGGGAAAGCGACCAATGTGCTGAAAGGGCTTGAGCTTCACACTAAGGTCTTCAATGCTGAGGAGCAGAAGAAAATTGTACAGTGTGTCTATAGTCTGCAACGTATGGGCCAAAAGGGGCAACTTAGAGGTGAATCTATGGAAAACTTAACCTTTTTGGCTTGTTTTCGTTTTAGTTATTGTGGTCAACCTTGATAATGAGCTATTAAATTCACTTGATTCAAATGCATGTAATCTCTTAAGCCTATTTAGGAATAACCATGAATAATTATAGGATTTCTTGTACTAATAATATTGATCTTTTCATTTGAATGTTTGCAGAACGTACATACTCTGAACCCAGGAAATGGATGCGTGGTAAAGGTCGTGTTACAATACAATTCGGCTGTTGTTACAATTACACAGTGGTAATTTTCGATGCTTATTGTATTTTTTTTTTGCTCTCTGCTTTTGGCCTTTTACTCCTGAATTTCATATTAAATTCTGTACCTTTACAGGACAAAAATGGGAACCCACCAGGTATCATGAGAGATGAAGAAGTTGATCCCTTGCCCCCATTGTTCAAGCAAATGATCAAGAGGATGGTCAGGTGGCATATTTTGCCTCCAACATGTGTTCCTAACAGCTGTATTGTTAACATTTATGACGAAAGCGATTGCATTCCTCCACATATTGACCACCATGACTTTCTCCGGCCCTTTTGCACCGTGTCATTCTTGACAGAGAGCAATATTCTTTTTGGTTCAAGCTTGAAGATTGTGAGTCCAGGAGAATTCTCAGGACCTGTATCTATACCTTTGCCTGTTGGGTAAGTTTTCTATATTCTATCCTCACCAACTTGGTTATTGTCTTCTTGGTTAATGCATATTTCTTATTTGAATCTTTGATATGAAAACATATATACTTGCATATTGGAGATTTCTTTTTGGTAAAACGCTCCTTTTTGATACCTGTTATACGTGATAATCTTTGTTTTTTTGCATGTGTCCAAGTTCTAACCTAGCACTGGCTATGCAGATCTGTGCTCATTTTGAATGGTAATGGAGCCGATATTGCTAAGCACTGTGTCCCAGGTGTTCCAGGAAAAAGGTATCCTAGTTCAATCCTTTCCAATTAATTTGTTAAATATTTAATCTTGGATACTCAGGGACTCAATTATTTCTTTCCGCTTATGAATATGCAGGATATCCATTACATTCCGCAGAATGGATGATAGCAAACTTCCATACAAGTTTTCATCTGATCCTGAGTTGCTGGGAATTAAACCACTGATCTTTTCTCCTTCAGCAAAGTCAGCTCCACAAGGCCATCATCAAAGGCCAGTCATTCATTCTTCCTTTGTCAAGGCAGTAGTTCAGCAAAACCAGCATCAAAATGACCAACGAGTCAGGGATAAAGCAGAAGAATCCGCTAAAACAACGAAGAATGATTCCTTCCTTGCAGGAAAGAATGATTTTCCTCCACTTGGTAGGGTAAACAAATCTGGATCAAGGCAATGATTTCTTTTGGATAGCTTCATACAACTGGGTTGAGCAGAGTTCTCATTTATATAAATTTTAGTTGAAGTTATATTTTCCTGATTTCTATAGATACTTAGCACAGATTCATCCATTTTTTTGAGGTTGATATCAGAATAATATCATCTATTATTTTGAAGAAATTAATTGAAATGATCACTTTAGCTTTCTTCATTCTTGGCCTTTTAATTTTTTTTTCTTTTTTTACAAAAAGAGTTCTTGAATTATGTCAAGCCATATCATAAGTCATGTAGATAAAAATATGTCAATTAACATTAATTATGACGACCGTGACAGCCGTTAATTTTCCGTTAAAGATTACAAGCTTATGTGCGGATTTTAATTGAGTACGGATAAATGTTTCTTTATATACAACAAAAATATAAAAATTCAATTGTATAAATAATACAAGATTTTTATTATTATTTAAGTCTGTTATTAACTTCTTGAATTTCAATGAATTAATTAATTCTCAATATATATAACTAAGGAAGGTTGGAATAACTATAATATCTATATTATTCACAAAAGGAAAGTGAAATCACATGCACCACAAGGTAGGAATAAGAAGCATCATAACGACTAATAAATACCTATAATAAAGTAAAATTTATACTCTTAAAACAATCCCTATATGTATTTTGTTTACTAATTATAATTATTTAATTAACTTGGAAGAATATGTTCACAAATTAAGTAAATAAAAGAAATTAAAGAATAAAGTAAGTATTCCCCATGCTTTTACAAAGTGTTTCCCAATTCATAAATAATAATTAAAAATAAATAAATTAAAGACATATGTCTCGCTTCGAAATTGGAAATTATTACATTAAAGAAGGTAAAGTACCAAAATTGCCCCCTTCGCACGTGGTAAAAAAGCAAAGGGAATCATCACATGTCATCCGATCTGTTCTTTGGTGCAAACCAGACAAGCACAAACCTCCAGAAGCTCTTTCCCACGGTTTATGTCTTTTTATGCCTTTCGTGGCAATGACTTTAAAGATTGTCTACAACTCAGGTACACCGTCTTTTTCAGTTCCTTCGCCAACCGATCACCGCCACGTCTCACGTGGGACCCCATTTGATCTTTTTTTGGGACACGATCACGAAAACATAGGGGAGAGAAGAGGGGGGACGACAGGGTTTACGTAACGACACGTGGTTGAGTTTTGTTCCTCTTTTGTCTTTATAGTTGCTGGATTGAAGAAACACTTTGTGGTAAACAAATAAATAAAAAAGAAAAGATTTGTGAAGAGAATTTTAATGATGCCCGGTAATCGGAATTTGTAAGCAATTTGTAAATGGAAAAAGAGATGCCCAGAATCCAACAAAGTTAGTAAAGAATAAATAACTAAGGAGAAAAATAGTTAGGAGGGAGAGAGACAGAGAGACAGCACGGTGAAGTGTCAACTCAAAGAAGAAGAGATTTGTAGGGCAAAGTCGGCTGCTGGAGATTTTTGACAAGAGTCATATATGGTGTGTAAATTCTGGGCTATTCTTATTTTCATTGAAGTTTTTTGCCATCAAACTGTTCAGTTCAGAAGGAGACGGAGCTGAGTTTATTGTCCATACCAGGTGAGTTTTTCTATTCATTATTATTTTTCCTTGCTTGAATTGATTTTCTGTTGTATGTATCCATTTTTCTTGATTATTAATACAAACAAATGGGATTCAGTAGTGAATTTATCAGGTTGTGGCAAAAGAGAAATAGTGAAAAGAACAAGCAATGATCAACGGTTTTATTTGTGTTTGGATTAGAATAGTTAGCAGTACTTTGTAGTTATAAAAATTAGTCTGAATTTTTTTTTTTTGGGGTTATTTTGATCTCAGTTTATAATTATAGTTACCAGTTGGTTATGTTCTTTATGACTATCAGAATATAGAGAAGAAGAATATAAAGCCTGCAAAAAAGGAAGAGTTTCATATTTCCTTGTTATCATGGAGAAAATGCGCGTAAAAGGAAAATTAGTGTTATGTTTTCCACCTTAACTGGGGTAAATGAACTGCATTTTCAGATTCAAAAGTTAAAAAGGAAGGTGCCCGAAAGGATTTCTTACCAGAGTGCTTGAATGACTCGCTTAAAGACTCTGTTGGATGAGGATTCTGGAACTAGTGCTGAACAGCTCAGTCCTGTACCATGCACCAATGTGGAGAATGTTGAAAGGTATTATATACTCTTCAGCACCACAGTCTACACCTTTTCTTTGTCTCAACTCTTGTGTATCAGATTATGCTTTGTTATGGTTAAGCAAAATTTTGTTCTTGCAGGCTTAATGAGAAGGCCTTCGCAAATCGAGATTTCTATGTTGGTGATTTTAAGGAAATTCTTCCCCATGGCAAGGGAAAGTATACATGGTCAGATGGAACAGTACACGAGGGTGATTGGGAAGCAGGGAAAATGACTGGAAAAGGAGTGTTACTTTGGCCATCCGGAGCAATGTATAAAGGTGATATTTCAGGGGGTTACCTTCATGGTGCTGGTGCGTTTACAGCACCTGATGGATCCATTTATGAAGGGCAATGGAGGATGAATAGACGGCATGGATTTGGAAGAAAGAAGTATTCTAATTCAGATGTTTATGAAGGAGAATGGAAGGAAGGAGTACATGAAGGTAATGGTAGATATTTTTGGAATAATGGAAACAAATACACTGGGAATTGGAAACGTGGGAAAATGCATGGTAGAGGAGCTATGGAATGGGTGAATGGTGATCAGTACAATGGCTGTTGGTTAAATGGCTTCAGACATGGGTCTGGAATTTATCAGTATGCAGATGGGGGATATTATTTTGGAACATGGACCAGGGGCCTAAAGGATGGAAAAGGATTATTCTATCCTTCCGGAAGTAAACGTCCCTCTCTAAAGAAGTTTTGTGTCTCTTTGGGATATGATAATGGTTATAAAAGTGCGTTATCTCAATTTCCGTCATTAAATTTGGAAGAATGCATGGTTAAGAAACCAAGTGTTAAGCGCAGTCTCTCGGAGAGGATCTCAGTAAGTGGTGTTTTAAGAAGTTCAAGTCGAATCTCACATAAGACTGCTGAAAATTCAAGACTTTCGGATTCTGGTAGAGAATTCATACGCCATAATTCCTCAGGCACATTCTCACTTGATTCTGATGCTGGTCAAAGTGAGGTGCAAGAAAATACTGCTGTAGTTTATGAGAGGGAATACATGCAAGGAGTTATGATTAAAGAGAGAATAAGAAATCATGGTGAACTATCACAGAAAGCTGAAAAGCGAACTAAAAGTCATGCCAAAGAAACAAAAAAGAGTTCATGTGTTGGCATTATTGGAGGCAAAAACAGCTATCATTTGATGCTTAATTTGCAACTTGGTATAAGGTAAACTGATTGAGATTGCAACTCCTTTTTCTGACTTACCCCGAACTAATCAACTCGGCTTAAAGTGATATTAATCTATTTTTACCTATTCTGGGGCTTGACTTCATCAAATTTCTTTATGGAATGTCTCTTAAAGTGATATTAATCTATTGTTACTTATCCTGGGGCTTGACTTCGACAATTTCTTTCTGGAAAATGCTTGATTACATGTTATATTAATCTATTATATATACATACATATATATATTAATATTTCTCTTTTATCTATGGCTTTATTACATGTTATGAAATGCTTGATTTGAAGTTCACAGGTATACTGTTGGCAAGATAACACCAGTACCTAAGCGTGAGGTTCGAACTGCTGATTTTGGAGATCGAGCTAGAATTACTATGTTTTTCCCCAGTAAGGGTTCACAGTTTACACCACCACACAAATCTATTGATTTCTACTGGAAGGATTATTGTCCTATGGTCTTCAGGTATTTAAATCTTATGCACTTTGTTCTTGTTAGACTTGTGAAAAAAGATTCACATTAGCACCATGCTTTCAATGATTGAATCTTGTTGGTGGAGATCTATATGAGGAGCAATCTGAATTTTTAGATTCAAGTGACCTGGAAAAGAGTGGACTTATGATCTTATACTTGGTGCATATTTGTTGTACTATGTTAAGGAACCTGAGGGAGATGTTCAAGCTAGATGCAGCAGAGTACATGATGTCCATTTGCGGTGATGACGGTTTGACAGATTTTTCTTCTCCAGGGAAAAGTGGCAGTATCTTCTATCTTTCTCATGATGATAAATTTGTGATTAAGACATTGAAAAGATCTGAACTCAAGGTTTGAACCTATATAGTTTTCCTTGGATATTATCTACTCATTGATATATTTATATTTTCAGATTTCAAGTATGTTGGGTCCAATTACCTCTCAATTAAAATATGGATGGGAAGGGAAACTTTAGCAGCTGGTTGATTTCACTGAGGATCTGCTATTTTGTGACACAAGCTTAAAACCATAATCTTTTTCACTTTTATTTTTTTTATTTACATTATTTAATTTATAATCATTAGATAACTGCATTAAAGAGTTTACTAACCATAGGATGGACTTTGCCTCAGCTATAAACTTAATTCCAATATAATTTTTTGAGCTTCGACCTGGACATTTTTTTTTTTTGGTTTCCTAAACAAGAAAAACTCAACTCGATTCTGATACTTAGAAAACTGTAAAATGATTTGACACCAAAGCTAATGAATTTTAATAATCTCTTTTAATACATGGACAAACAGCTGCACTGGGCCTTAAATAAATGGTGAATCCTGTCAACATGCATGAGAATATTTAATGTCGATTTTTGCATGTTACAGTTGGGAGTTTCCCTTGAGTTAATGAAGAAATCTGGGTTAGAAGTTTCCCTTGTCTGGTAAGATGCAATTGGTACAAGGACAAAGTGAAGACAATAAAGGGTACAACTCAAGTTTGAGTAGGCATTGAAATGATATATAGAACATAGCTCTAGAGAAAATGCTTTGAAAACAAGTGATCTGTCCCAAATTGTTGGCTGAAGTTCTGCCAGCTGTGTTAATAACATTATTGGTGTTTTGCATTGACGTCAATGAGGCAGATCACTCTTTCCACTCCCTCCTCTCTCTCTCTGCCTAGAAAACCTCCCACTCCAATCCTTCATGTTTTGTCATCAAATTTGCTCAGTACGCATATTTCATTATGTAATTTGCTTTAGATTTAGTATATTTGTGAATTTATTAATTTTTCACTTCCTTTTGAAATTTTTATGTGTATACAATATATATCAAAGGATTTAATGACAAGTTCTCTTACTGTAGGTCTGTGCCCCTAGACTATGCAGGATGTCTCTTATGGTACATAAGTAGTTTTCTTCTTCTATGTAGGTTTTACTCAAGATGCTGCCTAAGTACTACAATCATGTAAAAGAGTATGAAAATACTCTCATAACAAAATTTTTTGGGCTCCACCGGATAACTTTACCAGGCAGAAGAAAGGTATTTTTTGTCCATCTGGCTTAGTATATATACAGCAATGGACCTAGCTTATGATTAGTGCGGTTGTTTCTTATTCTTTTTGCTCCTAGGTGCGCTTTGTGGTTATGGGGAATATGTTTTGCACAGAACTGAGAATTCATCGTCGTTATGATCTAAAGGGATCAACCCACGGAAGATGTACAGATAAAGATAAAATTCGAGAAAATACTACATTGAAGGATCGTGATCTGTCATATGAATTTCATATGGACAAATCATTGCGGAAATTCCTTTTTCAGTAAGTTCCTCATCTTCATCCTCTGTAACATCATTTGTGCACTGGTACTATAATTTTTCTTTATAATTGATAAATTGCAAACAAGCTTTAAGAGAAGGATGTTAAGTGCCTGCCATAGCCCAATCTGAGTAGTAGCCTCGTTTGCAAATTTGTCCCTCATTGCAAGGTTCAAAGCTAAACATTAGGTGGCAGCTGTTCTGAATTTATCTTCACATTCAATGCATTTTGCGTGTAGTGTCATCTGTATTTGGAAATAACATTCACATTAATGTTTCATGCTGGATTGGTTTCCTTCCCCATTCGTTATTTAAAAGTCAAAACATTAACCTTAGCTGTTGGAAGCAATCATAATTAGTATAGCTTGTGGCATCTAAATGGTCATCCTTGTCCGCTAATCTTGTTCTGTGAAGTCATGTAATGGACAAGAATGGTCCCAGTTGCAACCAGAAGCCTGCAGCAGGCTCTCCATAGTTAAATGAAATCACTTTTTGACACTTTATATTTGCGCATTTGATGAGTATAAGCTTCCACATAGCACTATTCCCCAAAACCCATAGATGAAGTACACTGTTCCAATTGAGGATGCAGCTGGAGTGAGCAGCCAAACCTTGTGGCTGCATGTGGTTACCCAAGGTCACAATTTCACATAGTTTTGAGAACTTATTGATGCTAGAAATTATGCTTTAGATTAGATGGAAAGGGAGTTATAATTTTGTTTCAGATGTTTTATATTTAAGAGCTTTGTGTCATGGCTGTCCTCTTATCCTCAATGTTCTGCTTTGTTTTTGGAATTTATTGATATTTAGATTATAGGAGAAGTTAGATTGTTATGCTGCAACCTTTTTCCCCTTTACTCCCTCTGTGCTAAGGTATTGAGCACTTACATTGGTGCTTTTTAGCATTTTTTGCCTACCAGAACCAAGAACCTATTATGTGTACCTGAAAGCAATGGGAATGTCATGTCTATATCTCTGTGTCTGTTTGATTTCTAACAATCAGTGTTTTTTTTGTCGTATTGCAGCCAAATAGCTGTGGACTGCACGTTCCTGAAATCTCAACAGATAATTGATTATAGCCTTCTATTGGGTTTACATTTTAGAGCTCCTGAGCAACTAAGTGGCCTCCTTGAAGATCCCAACATGATGCCCAAAATTGAGAGCTCACCTGCTGGCGAGGGTAGGTGTCACACTTCAATTTGAGTATTTGACCTTCTTATGTTATAAATCTGTTTATATGATGGTTGGTCTATGTAAGGGAGTGGAATAAGGTGGGAAGGGAGTAGTTACTCAACGAGTGAAATAAGTTGGGAGTGGAAATAGAATGCTATGTCACAATATGGTCAGGAACATAGTAGTTGTCCTCATTCTTTTCCTAGATTTGGCCCTCAAGCATCTGAACTGAGCCCAACTGTGCCCTGGAAGGAAATTTACACGCTATTAGAGTTTCTCCCTTATCATGTGCTTTTGATTATTATCTTGGTGATTGAGGTGGTGCTGATTAAACTTCTGACACTTGGGTGTAGAGGACTGTTAGAAAATGAGATACTATAATGGGCACATTATTTATTTTTATATTTTAAGCTTATTTGCCATGGCCAAACCATGGCACAAGTATATGCAGGCGCGAATGATATACAACTGAGGATTGGTGAGTTTGTTGAAGATTGACCTGGAGCTAAATATATATATATAAAGAGAGAGAGAGAGAGAGACGACATGGTAATGCAAGAAATGTGATCTCCCTGATGGACTCTTGGAATAATTTTTCTTTTTTTTATCTTGCAACTGATTTGTGAGTTCATGTTTAGTGGGTGTGCACTTCCAATAACACTTTTTACCTGGAACTTTTATCTTTTTTTTTGGTGGCTACTTTCTGATCTTGGCTTCCTTTATTTTTATATTGTTAATTTATTGAAGAGTATGCAGCTTATATTCTGCTTATACTAGGTCTGACAACAGAAGGGGAACTGTTATTTCCATCAAAAGGCTTGCTGCTGGTGGCCCATGAACCCAGCTCTGTTAGCACTGAACCGGGTCCTCACATCAGAGGAAGGGCGTTAAGAGCTTTCTCTCTGGGTGACAAGGAAGTTGATGTTTTGGTGCCTGGTACTGGAAGGTAGCAGCTTCATTCATATTCTTTTTGCACATTGACCTAATGCTTGCCGGTGATCTTCAGCTTTGCCCATTAGTTACCAGCCCTCATATTGTTATAAGCTTGCATGTTTCTGGACTGAGTTATGTTGGTATCAGAGATAGCACATATTATTTTAAGCACTAAGAATTTTGTTTTACTGCTACAATGGAAATGGACCTTCAACACTATGAAAAGTGTATAGCCTGACAGTTTGTCTAGATCCAAACGAATATCAGTTTTGTTTCTGTCAAAGGTAGATTTGGAAATGTCAAAATTCTGTCTCGTCTTCCATTTTGTTTCTCAAATTGAAGTCTTTTTCTCAATGAGTCAATAGTTCAGTTAATATCTGCTGAAATTCTCTGCTCTGCGCTCAATTGCACCATCACATCCCATCTCATAGCGTGTTGCTTGCCATTCTCTCCATTTTTTTTTTCTCTGGCTGCCCTTTACATCAAACAGTTCAGAATGTGGAGATTTTTTATTTTTGACCTAATGTTGAGAGGCATTTGATTCAGCTGGCAGCCACTTTTTATTCAGGTTACGAGTGCAATTAGGAGTAAACATGCCAGCACAGGCTAATCACAAGCTTTCCCATGTTGAGGCTGATTCAGCTGAAGTTGAACTTTTTGAGGTTTATGATGTGGTTCTCTATATGGGAATAATCGATATTTTACAGGAATACAATGCAAAGAAAAAGGCTGAGCATGCATGCAAATCAGTGAAATTTGACCCCATGTCAATTTCTGCTGTCGACCCCGAGCTCTATGCTAAACGTTTTATTGACTTCTTGAATCAAAAAGTTTTCCCTGAAGAACCATGAAATGAAAAAACTGTATATATTTATCTGTTTTTACCATTGCTTCACATTTTCATTTTTGTTAGCTTCTTTTTGTACCTTTTTGGCTCACATTTGACACCATTCCTTTTTACAGTCATTTATTGTAAAGTGATCACTATCTGCACCTCTTGTACTGGTTGGATAGTGATATTGGGCTTATTTAATAGGTGCAATAAAGTTTTTCTGATATTTTCGTGGTTAACGTTGTTCTGTTTAGTTCAAGTGCTGTTGTAATTTTGATGCAAATTTCCATTACCTAGGACCGTAACCTTCTTGCATCTACATACAGCCTACCTTGATCACATTCCTGAGTGCAGTGTGCTTGACTAGGCATTTTGCTTTAAAATAACTTAGAATTGCATCTTGAAACATACAGCATCTTCTTACAGGCAGGGTTCTAAAACTTTTGCAGCAAGACATGGTATAGTAGGGGAACTCTTAGAATTGAAAACAGGGTTGATAATACCTTTCTTTTCCTCTCTGTTCCTCTTCTGGCTAGCCAATCTTGTAAGGGAGACCGACCCCTAGGCTGTTTGCGAGAGCTTAATCCCGTTCTTCATCCATGCGCATATCACGAGTTCATATTTTTAATTCAAAATATGTCAATTAGGTGAAGAAAGATTTCTGACTCACAAGTCTTAAGTCTGTAACACATGGAGGTCGACCATCGCCAAATGAAGGTCAAAGAATTATCGGAACTAAGTTTAAATTTCTTTTCTTAATATGCATTAAAAATCACATTCACGTATGATATAAGCTGGGTGTACATCTATAACATTAGTAAACAGCGTACCTAACTAATGGGAAGAAGAAAAACGGAGATGGGAACAGGAAAAGAAACCTCCATGGACTGACTCTCTCTTCGCTCACCTGGATTCCATCTGTCACCGTGAAGCACTGACAAAGCATTTGAACAAAGGTAGGCTATGGTCTTGGACCTTCACTTGGTATCAATTTGACAAGACGTAGAATTATTATATTTGAATCAAACATTGATTCCTCAATAAATTGAAGTAGGCAATGGAAATAAATGTTGCAATTGCTGATGAAGATTGTTTGTTGCGTGAAAATCAGAAACATAATTAATGAATTTTCAGTTGTCACTCACAAACATAGGAGCTAGTGCATTAACAGGGACAAATGCTTTACATGCCTTAATTCTCACACAAAATAATAATAAAATAAAAAAAATTTCTGAGCCCGTCTGTTGCAGTGTTCTTCAATGTGAACACAACGACATTGACTTTTTCTTTTATTGACTAGTTGTTCAGATTCAAAGACTAGAACAACGTTTTTTTGGTTTTTCAATAATTGGAATATTTGTATGTATTCATATTCTTAGCAGTATTTAGTTTAAAATTTCAATTATTTTATATTTTCATTACATTCGAAAATATAATACATATTATTAAATTAAATGTTTCGAATACAAATACATTTGCTGTTAGTATTAAATAAACTGAGAAAACGCACAATGTGATATGAAAAGGGTGAAGAAAAGAGATGTGGGCGAGGGTATCATTCAAGAACAAGGCACGCCCACAAGCAATCAAATTCTCTCATCGTCGGGTCGGCCTAGATCGGCACAGCAATCTAGGGATAACGCTAGATAATGTTCCTCCCAAGCGAATGAAAGAAAGAAGATTGTAGATATTCATTCATAGTGGACCACCAATCTCTCCTCGTACAAGATCATTAAAATGATTTCACATTATCAATATATGTATGTACGTATATGTGTATATCTCTAAATCGAGACACTCACCCAGACATATCATCAAGTAGCAAAACTTGAACTCGATTGTTTCACCTTTGGATCTCACCATGAATATTTTTAAACCCAAAACGACATTATGCAAGCTGTGCAACCATCAAATACTACAAGTGAAGTACTTCTATCTTTGATCTAACAAATTGTTTTCAGAAAAAAAAAGAAAAAGTCATCGTACGTCCCTTCAGAACAAGTTCATGATCAAATCTAGAGATGTGAAGAGAATCTGCAATGGACATGAGTACTAATAGCCTCTCACCACATAAAACACTTTTTCTCTATCAAATTATTGAAGAAAATAAGTAATGCTGATTGAATTGATCATTCACATGCAAGTTCAATGTAAATTTGGTTCACAAACCATAGAACATGCCATGCCATTTTCAAAATTATTGATGGAACAGTTTTTGATTGAACTGACAAATGTTTGGCCAATACTCTCTGAGATTCCCGACAAAGGAATATGCGTTTAAGTTCATAAGAGAAATTGTACCTATTGCAATAATTTATGTACCCAAAAGTTCCATGTAATCCTTTGGGAATCTTGCTTCTCAAGAGAATTAGATACAAAAAAATTGAAGTTCAGCCACTTTGATAATGAAGGCAATCGACAACTTTCCTCTATATTTCCATATCTCCTTCCTTTAACTTAAGCACAAAAACCTCTGTTTTTCTTTATATCTTCAATATTAATAGCTATATAATTGAAAGGGTATATACTTTGGGTGAAAAACCATTCCATCATCCATTGAAAATCAAATCACATATCAAACTACATCGAAAGCGTCTGAGTATAAAATTTTTGAGCCTTTCCTGTGATTATGATCAATTGAGAGAAGTAAATATTATGACAAATGAATTGACAAAAACAGAAATCTCCCAGACTAGAGATTTTAATGATTTTTGTTTTATTAGTCTTTCATGTTAATTAATTACGGTTGATGTTTAATTTTCTTGCAACCACATAATTAAAATCCCTCCCTTTTTTCAAAGACATATATGTGTGTGCGTGTGTGTATACACACACTTGTATATTCATGTTACAATGCTTGTTTAATTAATGAAAAGTAAAATCAATCAATGCCCCAATGTTGGCTCAAACATTTGGAAATTGGCATTTGTACTTATCCTGCTCCAAATTAACTACAATTTTTTGAAGAAATAAATTAGCAACTTGAATATATATATATATATATATATATATATATATATTCTCCTCTCTTCTTTTTATACATGAATAATGCCAATAGGATAATGTTGAAAATCTTCCCACCTCAAATTTTTCCAAAGCCTCAAGCGGGAAGTTATATATTTATTTGATCTCATGTTGCTATATATCTCTTACAAGCAATATTTTATTTTCTTTTAAAGTGACAACATGACAATAAGGTTGCTAAAAGAGATTCCTTTTATCCTCATTATTGATCATCGAAAGTAAAGGCCTAACCAAAGTTAGGTTGAGACAGAATCAGTGTTTACAGTAACACATTCATGAGTTAATAACAATGGAGAGAAGGAAAAAAAGGGCTAAATCCTTCATACAATGACACGAAAATAGTGTGTATTGCAGTCGATTCTAGCTTTAACAAGTCCGTCTGTCAAAGAGTTAGCTTTTCCTGAGTACATGCCTAAAGTACAGGTGAGTATCCAAAGTGTGCTTATGATTAAGATCTCCACCATCTTTTAGTATCTTGAATGCCTTCAATCATTCCTATACAAATGAATTAAAACAAAATTCATCAGTTGCATATTTTCCTGCCCAGTTCACAACCGGCAGTTACATTCCATAGTGGAGAAACAGACCAAAAGGAAGAAGATTGAAGGGTTATTTGAAAATACTCAGATGAAGAAGAAGAAGAGAATATATACCTCATTAATTAACATTTACAAAAGATTGATTCCACTGCAACCGGATTGGATTTGTCTCTGTTCTACATGCACAGGTCAAGTAAAGAATGGGATTTTATGTCTCTTCTTGTACTGTTCTCTACCACTACCGAAGGGTAATTCTTTTGTGCCTCTTTCCTTAATAAAAATATTATTATACTTTAAAAAAACATTTTTAATTTCTTATCATCCAATGTACATAAAACCAATAAAATTCCAGACCCAATATCACACTTCACATGGGGCAGACCTCATCACTTTCATGAGGTCAATGCAATATCACCAGATATACACATATGACATGCATATGCACATAGTACATGGATATAAACATGTAGTATAGCATACATACAAAAACATGCATGCATACATAAACATGTGAGAGGGTGAAGCTTTTGGACACATGGATATTGTTCTAAAACTAATTCCTAGATGCCTTGAAACCGCCTCTGAAAGGTTGTATTTTCCTTGAAGTGAGTACAGTTCCACCTTTTAGCTACCTTTGTCTCCTAGTACAAACTATTGCTCTGATCCCTTGGAAGAACATGAAAAAGAAAGAACAAAACACTCTTAAAAGGAAAAAAAAACTAGTCTTAATTGGGAAAGAGAAATCATTACTATAAGACCGTGGGTTTGAGTGTGTGTTGTTGTGCCTGGAAAGAGAGAGAGAATCTACCATGGAAAACATGAAAACAGATGTTGGTCAACACACAAAAAAAGGGAGGGGCTGCTGCAGCAAAAAAATAAGTCAATGGCATCTTTCTGATCTTTTGTTTGTTAGCATTTTTGACAAGTGGGTCAAAAGGATTCCATGCAAGAAACCTGAAGCTTAGAGAGAGAAAGAGAGAGAGACAAGGAGAAGAGAAACTCATAGACTCAATCAAGAGAAAGAGAGAAATTGATATTACCATTTTACCAGAAACATGGCCTGGATACAACATCTGCTGAACCTGGACAAAACCAGAGAGAGGAAGTTGTTTTGGTTGACGGGAATGAAGCCTGGTCCGAGATCATATAGGGCTATATGTATTGCAGAAACTTTCCCGGAAAAAAGAAAAGTGAAATTAATCCAAGAAAATTTCATGGAAATAAAAATCAACCTAGATGACCTCGAGCCAAACAACATTCCCATCAACCGTTTCTCCTTTGTAATCAATAATAATTGTGCAGTCTCTCTGATCAAAAAGCCTAAGGAGTGGAGCCGCCAAAAATGAAAATGTTTGAGGGGAATGAAGCCTGGTCCGATACCTTTCACTTTGATCACTCTCAAAGCCCCCCGCATCGAGCCAGCCAACATTCCTCTCAAAGACAAAACCACTTCCATCACTTACACAGAAATCCTACAAGACTAAGAAAATTTGAGACAGGAAGGCAAGGGAAGTATTAGGAGGAAACATTACCCTTCCCCACACTGAAAAAAACAAAAAAACCCAAAGGCCCCATTTTTCTTTTCCACCTTGAGAAAACCCTAGCCTACTAGGATTTATAGAGAGAAAAGGGTTAGCATCTCTCTTGCTTGGGTGACCTCTCACAAACAGTTGTAA